ATTGTTTGCCCAAGCAAGGAGAGGGTAAAAATGAAACTTTCAAAAAAAAAAAAAAAAAACCCTGCAAGTATTTCAAGGAGGCATGATGTTCTCTCTATGGGGGCTTCAATTTCCCCAATATCTGTTGGAAGTCAAACCCTGCCAAACACAGCTCCTCTAAGAGAGTTCTAACATGTGTTGCTGATAACTTCATCCAGCAGAAAGCAGAAGTAGGAACAAGAAGTATGGCTTTACTCAACCTGATCCTAACCAACAGGGAAGGCACAGCAGACAAAGTAACAGGTATGGGAACTCTGGAGAAAAGTGGCCATGCCTTACTTGAATTCTTAATAATAAAGAAAGCTAAAACTAAATGTAGCCAAACATATACTTTGAATTTCAAATAAGGCAACTTTAACAAATTCAGGGGAATGAGGAACAAAGACCCATGCCAAGCCATTCTAAAGGGAAAAGGAGCACAAGGCAGGTAGAATATCTTAAAAATGAAATGCTTAAGGCACAACTGCAAATAATTCCAACAAGGAAAAGTAGTAATAGATAACAGAAGAAGCCCATGTGGCTGCACAAAAAGCTAAGAGATAATCTGAAAATAAAAAAGGATGTATATAAGAGATGGAAGGAAAGCCAAGTTACAAAGCAAGTAGCAAGGAACTACAGGGATGCAGTCAGGAAGGCTAAAGTGATAAATGAACTGAGACTAGTGAGGGAAGCTGCAAACAACAAAAAAGCCTTCTTCAAATATGTCGAAAGCAAAAGACAGACAAAAGAGAAGGGAGTTTAGCTACTCATCATGGATGGAACAATGATAACAGATGACAAAGAAAAAGCAGACATGCTCAACTCCTACTTCAACTCAGTCTTCTTCCAAAAAAGGAACTACAATCTTCCTGATGAAGGTATCATACAAGCTGAAGGGGCAGGATGGCAGCTGAAGGGCTGATAGGCAAATGGTCAAGGATCTTGGTTAACATGAGTTCAAATATCCAGGGCCTGATGAACTTAATCCCAGAGTAATAAAAGAAATAGTGGAAGAACTCTCAGAAGCACTATCTATCATCTTGAGAATTCATGGAAGACAAGGTAAATGCCAGATGACTGGAGAAGGGCTAACGTTGTCCCTATCTATAAGAAAAGGCAGGGGAACTAGAGATCAAATTGTCAACATATGCTGTATCATAGAGAAAGCTAGGGAGTTCCAGAAAAACAACTACTTCTGCTTCATTGAGAGAACTGGGCATATTTAGCCTCAAGAAGAGAGGACTAAGGGGTGACATGATAGCACTCTACAAGAACCTGAAAGGTTGTCACAAAGAGGATTTAAGTTAAAAAGAAACCAGATTGGGACTAGATACAGGAAGAATTTCCTCACTGTCAGGAACATATTACCTGGCGAAGTTGTGGGCTCTCCCTTGCAGGAGACATTCAGAAAGCATCTTGGCCGTCATCTGCATGGGATGGTGTAACACAGTATACTGCAATAGCAGTTTGGACCTGATGGCCTTCTGGACCCTTCAAACTCTAGTATTCTATGCTTCTATGAATGCAATATTTAATTCACAGTTAACAAAAGGAAGGAGTAGATGGGCAGTAGCAGAACATACAAAATGGATATAGGTTGGATGAGTACAGATTGGATATTCCATCTGCCAGCCTTCTTGCGGTGCTATGGCAGGGTACTTTAATATTTTACTATTTCTATCCCACCCATTTTTTTGCTCGTTACTAATTTAATTCAGTCAATCCTCCAAACCATGGGAATGCACCATAGGCTCACATGTACAAATCTCATTCCATATACACCTGCCCACCCCCTAAGATCCATGTCTGAGGTCCTTCTTCCAGAGCCTTCTTTGAAGGACATCAGAAGAATGGCTACCCTTTTCTGTGGTGATGTCCTGGCTCTGGAACCAGCTCCCCAGAAAGGTGTACCTGGCACTGACCCTTTATTCATTTCAGATAAGGCCAAACCCTTTTTATTTTCCCTGTATTTTAAGAACTGTGGTTTTAGTATTGGTTTTATTAGACATTTATATTTTATTTTGTATGCTGCCACTACTGTTTTGTATCACTGTCCTGAGACTTTGGTATAGGATGGGGCGTGGGGGGAGCTAGGAGATTACAGGCAGTATCTGGGTTACAAACAACCCATACAAACAACCCAATGCGTGGACTGCTATAAACCCTATATGAATGTCACCTTAAAAAGCCGTGATAACTATGTAATGCATTTGGCAACGCATTATCATTGGCTGTGTAGTTCCTAGAGAAATTCACAGCTTTTCATTAGAGATAAAAGATTTGCTAGAGGTGGTCAAGGCTATCTCCAAAGATAGCAGCAGCATCAGTGACAGCTTAGTTCCTTAGAGTTACAGTATTCATGGCTTTTTGTTCTGCAGCAGCAGGTTGAACATACTCAAGCCAGTGTGTTTTGGGGCACATGTAAGGCCTGTAGATCTCCTTTCATTTTTCTTTAGCATTTGCTTTTGTAACCATGCCCTCAGCTGCTACAAGGCCATTTATGATGAGAAAAAGAAAATGAGGCCTACTTCAACCCATGAGGCCTACTTCAAGAAAGCAACTGTAGTGGTTACCCACCTGCCCCCTGCTCTCCAGAAGCACAATCAAAGCCTGACTCTCCAGGCCCATCTCCAGCCTTATCAAGAATGTTCTAAACTGTTCTAAGAATGTTTCTTTTGTACACACTTAAATACAGGTTCTCTCTCTTCAGTATCTGAACTTACTTTATTATTACTGTGTTATTACCATTACTACAATGTTCTATTGTGTTTAAGATGTTTTAGTGAATACTGAGGTGTTTCTTAAGTGTTTTATATGCTTGGAAAAGTAAAATACATACATATACTAAGACAAACATTTGGCTTACTCATGTAATACAAATTCGACTTAAGAACATTTTCAGGAATAGAGCTCGTGGCGGGCTGTATCCTGGGGACTACCTGTACAGATTGCTATTACAAAAGAAACAAAGTGAACAAAAAGTCCCAAGTTTGTAAAATAAGTCGGCTGAGGAGCCTGCCTTGTTCCCCCTGCCCTGCAGCCCTGTAAGTCACTGTCCACTACAGTGTTTCCCTCCTGATGCCCTGTTGAGAGCCGGGATGGGAGAGAGGGAGGCTGGGCAAGCTGTGACACAACTGCAGCATGTCAAGCTGGGGCTCTCCTTCCTACAGAGCCTCTTAAACCAGCTAGTGTACAAGGCTGTTCACATCTGCTTTGCCATCTTTGCTTAGGTTTGGGCCTGTAAGAACACATTGGTTTAGAGGACTGGAATATAATGTCTGAAATGGATCAATAAGGCTACAATTGTATACACAGATACCTACAATAATCCTACTTATTCTTTTAAGTAGTTGCTGTGCTTCCAGTTGCACAGATGAGCACAGGGTTTAAATCCACCTTGAGATCTGAGGACAACTTAAAAAATCCTAAGGAATATTCAATAACAATTAATTTATTATTTCCATTATAGCCCTAGGGAGTATGGCCAATGTACTTGTTCCACTTCAACTCCAATTGTGGGACCATTACTAGATTTCTATATTGACCTTTCCTAAAATGAACAGCCCAGTAAAATCTGTAAAGCTATCAACAGATTCCACTCTTAAAGGTGGCCTCAACTTAATTGTAAAGAGAATAGACATACATACGCTTTTTATTTATTTATTTATTTATTTAAAACATTTCTATGCCACCCCATTCGCCGAAGCCTTGGGGCAGCTCACAACATAAATTAAAATATAATACATTAAAGATATAAAACAAATTAACAATATAAAATAAGCCGCTCTGGCCGGATAAAATAAGCAAATAATATTAACAATTAAAATGACGTTTAAATAAAAAGGTCTTCGCCTGGCACCAAAAAACAAATGACGGCGGCGCCAGGCAGACCTCTCTGGGGAGCGCATTCCATAGATTGGGCGCCACCGCAGAGAAAGCCCTCCTCCGAGTACCCACCCTCCTAATTCCTTCACGGTTTCCCGGAGAAGGGCCTCTCCCACTGATCTCAAGGGGCGGCTGGGCATATATGGATGTAAGCGCTCCTTCAGGTAACCAGGACCCAAGCCTTTTAGGGCTTTATAGGTCATCACCAACACCTTGAATTGGGCCCAGACTTCAATGGGAAGCCAGTGAAACTGACGGAGGACTGGAGTCATGTGAGTTTTGCTCTAGCACATTCAACAGGTGTGTGATGGTAGCAGTGGTGGGCAGAAACCTTTTCTAGGTTATAGAAAAAGTATACCAACGACATTCTACATATACAACAGATTTGGCTATATAGGTGTTGTGGTGGCAGCAGTATCTAAAATCCCAAGTTTCAGTTTGTATTACAGAAAGCCAGCAAGTTGAGTGGTTAGAGTGCTGGCCTAGGACTCAGGAGATCAGAGTTCTGGTCCCCACTTGGCAATGGGTGACTTTGGGGCAGTCACAGTCTCTCAGCCTAATCTACCTCACAGGATTGTTGTCATTGTTGTGAGGATAACATGCAAGCTGCCTGGGGTTCCTCACAAGAAGAAAAAAGATATAAAATGTCACACAACAATAGAGCTGTGTCGGAGTCTAAAATCGGTTATCGCAGGAGCTCCACAAACTCGCTGAACAGCGAGATGGAAAAACACTCCGCCCCTGCTTCGACCCCGCTTCTCCAACAAACCTGCAGGTAGACGAGCTAAAAGTTTTGCAAGTTTCCCTTTCGCAAACCCCAGCTCGGAGCTCGGACTAAGGAAACAGGTTCCAGGGCTGAGTGCGGGCCTAAAGCAGCGTGGCGCTGCGCCGCCTCGGGACCAGCCTGAAGCGCCCGGCCCGCCGCCACACTCGGACCCCGCGGCGCCGGCCTCGCCCGCCGCGCCTCCTCAGCGTCTGCAGCGAGGCAGGAGGCCGCTGGAGGCCGCACTCGCGCCCAGGAGGCGGCGGCCGCGTCTGCCAATCGCCGCCGCGCTGGCGGAAGTGTGGCGCGCGTACATTTCGTGTCAGCCTCGGCGCCTGGCCGGCGGGGGGAGCCGGCGAAGACGTGGCTGGCCGGGTGCTGAGCCGCTGGCTCGCCCGCCACGAAGACGCAGAACATGAACCTGCCTCGGGGACCGGAGAACCTGTGCTTCGACAAGGATGAGTTTATGAAGGTGCGGAGGCCGCCCGGCTGCAGGGCAGGAGCGGCGCGGGGCTCCGTGGCCGCGGGGTCCGGCCCAAAGCCGTCCCTGAAGGAGGTTGCGCAGCCGCGGCAGAGGCAGGGTTGCTCTGGGAGGCAGGGAGAGAAGAACATGTATCGAGGAGATGTGGGCAGGGTGTGTGTGTGTGTGTGAGAGAGAGAGAGAGAGAGAGAGAGAGACGGACTCTGTACGGGCTGGAATGATGTACAGGCCTAACAGATCCAGATGGAAACTTGTCCGCTCGCTCCCATCCTTCCCGATCTCCTCCCTGCAAAGCAAAGCAGCAGTAACTCCTTTTTGGCCCCTTGGTGAGGTTCAGATGACCGTCAAGTGTACGTCAGTCATGATGGTGTCTCTGTTCAGCCTCCCCACCCCTTTCTTTTAATAGACAAATACTTATGCTGCTTACTACTTGCCCTGTCACACGTTTCCGGATTCTTACAAGGAAATGCCTTTGGTCTAAGGACAGTCTTCCCCACATATCTGGAGGCCTCTAGTTTGTGGAAAGCTGGTCTGTGAAATCACATAATTCTAGCATGTTAATGTGTGATAAGTGTGTAAATCACTTATTGTAAAGTACACTTACAAACATGTCATGTTTTAATCTAGGCTATTTTCTCTTTGGATTACTCTCTGGATTTGATGTCTCTATTGGGTGTTGCTGATGTTATTATTTTTAAGTAGATGAAAAAAGAATGATATACCAAACATTTTTGCAGCTTGCATGTTAACTTGTCATTTACTACTTACCATGGTAATGTCTACCCTATTTGAAATGTGGATCTTCCAATCGTAGGAATGTGCACTGTATTCTGCCATTCCAGACTCGTATGCATTCTTGACAAACTATAGTGTAAATAATGCATAATTATCAGTCTCCAAGAAAGTTGGTTTAAGTGAATATTCACACAAAAAATGGAAATAATTAAGAAATAAAGGAAGTAATAAGGAAAAAAGAAAAAGGAAGATAGGCCCTTTGAATAGTGTTGCCTTTTTTGTGTCTCCATCCATCCCCTTCTTTGCAAGGTGCGTCATTATCAGCATAGTTTCTGTTGTTATGCAAAGTTCTGTCAGATTAATATATTGAACAGTATTTTATTTATTTATTTATTTATTTATTTATTTATTTAAACAACTTATGCCGCCCCATCGCATGAGCCTTGGGGCGGCATACAATCATTAAAATCCCATATAAAATACAAAAAATTCATCAAATAAATAAAATACAAAAAATAAAATAGTGGATCCAGCCTGATCAATTTAAACCAACAAATAAACCATTAACAGTTAAAATAGCGTTTAAATAAAAAAGTCTTGGCCTGATGCTGAAAAACAAATAAGGACTGCGCCAGGTGGATTTTGCTGCTCCCAGCCGCTTCATCCTCATCATCTACATTTTGTCCGAAAGACCAAGGAAATGTATGTGTGCATGGAATGCAGATTTTAAGCAAACACAATTTGTGATCTTGTAGAACTTCATAACTAATCACGGGACACATTTGTTAAGGCATCAGGTTTAGGCTTAAATCCAATGTTGTGCAAGCAGACTTGTCCTTGTGCTCATTCTTCCTGCACCTCCTTTGTGCCTTCCAAATGTACTCCAGATGAGTTTCTCACTCCTTTGGAGCAATGGGAGACAAGCTGCAGGAGGGGGAAACTGTTCTCCAAATGGATTCTGTGAGATAGGAACTTTGGTCTTAAACTGCCAGAGAATTTTTAAAATAATTGAATTAGTTTTCCAGTCCTAAGAAAGTGATCCCATAACATTATGACTATTTTGCATCTATGTGACACTTCAGAGTGTCCATATCCTTCACACATGTTATGCCAGTAATGCTTACAACAACCATAAAAGGTAGGCCAGTATTATTCATACTAAATTGAGAGATTGAGGCTAAGAGGAAGTAGCTTGCTTCTAATTAGTTCATGTCATGAGTGTCCTGTTAGCTATTACCCTACCTCGAAGAAGAAGGGTGAAATCAGCATCAAATGTAAAGTCCTAAGTGAAATGAGAAGGGACACACAGACAGCAGATTTCTCTGACTGCAGGAAGAAAGAACAAAGGAACCAGATATATTCCTTGGTCCATATGCTGATCCTGTGTGTGTGTGTGGTTGTGGGCTGGAGCTAAATTGCTATCATTTTTCTTTTACGAATGTAGAATAAAGAAACTTGAATCAAATTAATAATTTTTTGAAAGAAACTATTGCTTAGTGCTAGTATGCTCAGGCAAAACTCAAATATTCCAGTGCCTCATATTCCAGTGTTATTCTAATCTAACACATTAATTGGTTTCAACTGGACCGTGAGAGCATGGTTTCCCATGGACGATGCCTTGATGATTTTCCTGCATCTTGGGTTTTGTGCAGCACAGTTAGACTCACATGAGGCTCTTGAATATTGGTATAGTAGCAATTCTGTACCAACAAAAATTAATTCAAAACTACTACCACATACTTAGCTTAATATCTTTTATTGGATGGTAAAGAATCTATTCCCTTAGATGGGATGACATTTATTTAGTTATTTATTTATTAAAAGTGTTTCTATTCCATCTCCTACAGAACGTCTTGGGATGGCTTACAATAAATAAGTAGAATAAACTCCACAGCATCTGACCGTTAATATACTAAAATCCCAGTTAAAATCAATCAAACATTAAAATAATGGGAAAATAAAAATGCTAAATGACTTTAGACTTGAGCAATTAGTGTGACTATTTTGTGTACTTAATGTGATACTTCATGACATGTATGATGAACACCTTTCATGCATGACTATGTATTAGGGAAAGCCCCCAATAGCAAAGTGTCAGAGCAGCTGCTTTGTACACAGAAAGTTTCAGTCATTCCTCTGCTTCTTCAGTTAAATGGAGTGTGGGTAGCAGGCTTGTCAGAATACAGTATACCCCTGTGAAGTCGCGGTTCAGTGTTTGCAGCCTCAGTCTTTCGCAGAATTTTCCATGTGGCGGCTTGCTCGCAAGGAGATGATTTTCTCTGTGCGAGTCCAAACCGATCCGAGCTGCTCTCAAAGAGATCGGGTTGGACTTGCTCAGAGAAAACTATCTCTGTGCGGGCCCACCCCTGCCTCGCCACATGCAGGCGCCCGCCCCCCAGCCTGGCCTGGCCCGCACCTCCCACCTGTACTGCCTTGGTGGCCCATGCCCATCGCCGGCACCAAATTCATGGTTTTTCATTTGCGGGTGCTCTAGGAATGCAACCTCCGTGAATTTCGGGGAACTACTGTAAACCATACTGAGTGGATGGTTACTGAGTGACTCGGTATAAGACAGGTTCATATATACGAGTTATTCTAGGCAGGGTTTTTATTGTGCCATGACTCTGCCTTAATTCATGGAATTTTACAGAAGGTCCAGAACCTACTGTGCTTTCCTACCACTTTGTCCATCTTTTTTCTTATCTCAGAAAATTTGTATAAGAAAAAAAAGATGGAATTGCTACGCATTGCCATTTGATTGGTAATGATAGGAGCTTTCAGTCTATAAATCAACTTTCTGTCAGATGTCAATTTTTTCACACCCATGGACACACTTTAATGTCAACTTGCAAAATGGAACCTACTTTTAATTTTAAACTATTCATATTTTTTTTCTCTCATGTTTTGTCTGGCTTTCTTTCTTTTTCCTCTTTCTTTCCATCTCTCTCTTTAAAGATGGTGGGGATACTTGGTATAACCACACTAGGCTGCATGTCACTCCAGTTTTAGTTACAGTCACTAGTTGAAGACAAACACTGTATAAAACCACAGACCTGTACACATTTAGGCAGACAAAATACCTGCAACCCCCAGCATTCTCCAGCCAGGCTTGGGAACTGTAGGACTTTTTTTCTTTTTATCTAAACATATATAAGTTTGTACCCTAGAAAATTAAAATTGTTTTATTGAACTGCTTCCTAAAGAGACTGCAGCAGCTGTCCTTCCTGTATCCATCTGCCATTTTCCTAAAATTCTTAATTTTTCTTCTGATAATCAGTTTCTCATTGCTGCCAGATAGCATACTTACAAAAATGCCATTTCGAAAGTATAATTTTGGTTTGCCCACCCTATTCTTATTTATACTAATTCAAAAGTTATAAAATTGTTGTTGACCATACAATTTGTTTAAACTGGAAAATGTGGTGAATTGATTATGATAATTATGATTAAAAATTAAAAATAATATTGTTTAAGTTGTGAACCTGAGAAAATGCAGCTGAAATTAGTCTATAGAAGTGGTATGCAATTTCTTTATATTAGGGGTCCTTCTGATCTCCAGATTATGATCTTAGGGCCAAGAGTGTGCTTTCCTATGAAAGCTAATCTTTTCCTGGATGGTGCAATCCAGCTATGGAGTACATGTATTCAGTTGCAATTGGGACATTACATGCAAAATTCAAAGAGCAGAAACACAGGAACATTCTTACACCTATAGTATTTTCTCATAAGTAAAACAGGAAGTCAACCAAATCCAGATATAAAATTGTATTGCTTTCATCCTGAGAAGCTTGAATTCATATAGGGAAGAAATAACATTTCCTTGGTCAGCTGCCTCATAAGAATAGCTATAAGGAAATAAGAAAAGCCCTGCTGGATCAGACCAATAGTTTATCTAGTCTGGTATTCTTTTCATACTGTGGCAAACCTGCTGTTCACAGGATCCCTCCTGCCCAAGCTCCATAGCAACTGGTGCACACAGGCATACTTCCCCTAGTACTGGATGTAGAAAACAGTCATCAAGACTAGTAGCCGTTGATAGACTTGGCTTTCATGAGTTTGTCCAATCTCCTTTTAAAGCTGTACAAATTATTTGCTATCTCTACTTTCTGTGGCAGTGAATCCATAGTTTATGTGCTGTGTGAAGAAGTACTTCTGTTACTCTCCCATCACCCAGCTTCATGGGATAGCCCTGGGTTCTGGTATTTATGGAAGAGGGAGAAAAATGTCTCCTCCTTCTGCAAGACATCTTTTTCCTTTGAAGAAGAATTATTTCTCTATTTAATCTAATTGATGAAATGAAATAGCTTCACAAGTAATTAGAAAAAAGATGAGCAATAATGATTTGTTTGAAAATATTTTTAGACTATCTTTAACATAAAACCCACTAAATTGCGAACAAGGTAACAGTAGACAAAACACTGCAAAACAAATACAATAGAATATCAATAATAAATATCCAATAAAATGCTATAAAGAATATAATATCAATAGGATGTGCCACACACTACCTGTAGAAAGGCCAGTAAAGACAGGTGGCTCATCGGAGCCTTGCTGAAGACCTGCAGAAAAAGAGTCTGATGAATCTGATTCCAGAGGCGCAGGGCTGTCAATGAAAATGCCCTTGCACTCCAAGCATAACTGATCTTGAATTCAGGCAGGTGGCCTTCAGGGAAGGGCCACTGCTGGTATCTTGATATAAGAGAAGATAGTCCTTCAAGTAACTCTGTTTCTTGTAAATATGCTTGTCTGGTTATCACACAGCTCAGTTCTGATCAAATCCAGTTAACATGAAAGTAAGTCCCAACAAACTCAGTGGGGCATCTCTGGATATACATGCGTAGGATTACTCTGTGAAAGGATAATAGTACAGATGCACATATGACCAATTAGAAGTAAGTCTCACTAAGTTTAATGGCGCTTACTCCAATGTAAGTGTACCTAATGTTTCAGCTTAGATAAAACATACTCAGGTCTTGGAAGTGCTGTTTGGACTTACCAATACCAACCTGTGGTGGTATTTCAGATTATTTAAGAGATACTGGTGAAGTTCATTAATATTTTGCAAATAATTCTTGATTACAAAATCCCCTCTTACCTGAGTAAAAAGCTTTATTTAAAGAACAAGGCAATAAAAAAGGGCAGTCAATCTGTTATATGATTACATCAGTTCCACATTTTGTACATTCAGTTTTGGAAACAAACGTGCTCCAGGAATGGGAAAATATCTACACAAACTATGAGAATCTATGCTGATGTAATGTGAAAGTAATTGGAGTAGAGTGGAGATAATACTAATGTATGAATTATTGATATCTATTTTTGTATATTAACTCAACAGTGGCCACAGGATTGGAAAAGGTCAGTTTACATTCCAATCCCAAAGAAGGGCAATGCCAGAGAATGTTCAAACTATCATACATTTGCACTCATTTCACATGATAGCAAAGTTATGCTCAAAATCCTACAAGCTAGGCTTCACCAGTACGTGGACCAAGAACTACCAGAAGTGCAGGCAGGGTTTCGAAGAGGCAGAGGAACTCAAGATCAAATTGCCAACATATGCTGGATCATGGAGAAAGCTAGGGAGTTCCAAGAAAATATTTACTTTTGCTTCACTGACTATGCTAAAGCCTTTGATTACGTGGATCACAACAAATTGTGGCAAATTCTTAAAGAGATGAGAGTACCAGACCATGTTATATGTCTCTTGCAAAACCTGTATATGGGTCAAGAAGCAACAGTTAAAACTAGAAATGGAACAACTAATTGGTTCCAAATTGGGAAAGGAGTATGGCAAAGCTGTATATTGTCACTCTGCTTATTTAACTTATATGCAGAGTACATCATATGAAAGGCTGAGGTACAGGAATCACAAGCTGGAATTAAGATTTCTGGGAGAAATATTAACAACCTCAGGTATGCAGATGATACCATTCTAATGGCAGAAAGTAAAGAGGAACTAAAGAGCCTTTTGATGAGGATGAAAGAGGAGAGTGCAAAAGTTGAAACTCAACATTAGGAAAACTAAGGTCATGCCATCTGGTCCCATCACTTCCTGGAAAATAGATGGGGGTAGTGACAGACAGATTTTATTTTCTTGGGCTGCAAGATCACTGCAGATGGTGACCTCAGTCAAGAAATTAAAAGTTGCTTGCTTCTTGGGAGGAAAGCTATGGCAAATCTAGACAGCATGCTAAAAAGCAGAGACATCACCCTGCCAACAAAAGTTCGTATAGTCAAAGCTATGGTTTTCCCAGTTGTAATGTATGGCTGTGAGAGTTGGACCATAAGAAAGGCTGAACGCCAAAGAATCGGTGCTTTTGAATTGTGATGATGGAGAGATGGAGAAGACTCCTGTGAGTCCCATGGACTGCAAAGAGGTCAAATCAGTCGATCCGAGGGAAATCAACCCTGACTGCTCTGAGGGCTGTTTCCAGAAAGGGGTACTTGTGGCATATTGTTCAGCCCCGTGGATTCTCCAGCATGGAGTTCCACAGGGATTCATTCTGTCCCCATGCTGTTTTACATCTACATGAAATGGTTGAGTGCGGTCTTCCAGAATTTTGGAGTGCATTGCCATCAGTTTGCTGATGACACGCAGCTCTATTTCTCCTTTTCATCATTAGCAGATGAGGCTGTGGATGTGGTGAATGGGTGTCTGGCTATGATAATGGACTGGATGAAAGTGAACAAACTGAAACTCAGTCCAGTCAAGACTGAGATGCTGTTGGTGGGTGACTCCTGTGACCAGATGGGGATGTTCAGTCTGTTTCAGACAGGGTCACATTCCCTCTGAAGGAGCAGGTTTGTAGCTTGGGGGTGCTCCTTGATTCATCTCTGTCGCTTGAGGCTCAGGAGGCATTGGTGACTCGGAATGCATTCAACCAGCTTCAGCTGGTGGCCCAGCTGCATCCCTACCTGGACAGGGATAACAACACACTCTGTGTGGGGCTGCCCTTGAAGATGGTTCAAAAGCTGCAGCTGATGAAGAATGTAGCAGCCAGATTAAGAAGTGGAACAAAGTGGTCTGAATATGTAAGACCATTTCTAGCCACCTGCATTGGCTGCCTGTATGTTTTCAGTGCCAGTTCAAGGTGCTGGTCTTAACCTATAAAGCCCTACATGGCTTGGGATCATAATGCCTGTTGGATTGCCTCTCCCAACCTCAGTCTGCTTGGACACTATGCTGAACCTCTGGGGATTTCTTCTAGGTGCCGATGCCTGAAGAAGCTCCAAGTGTGGCAACTAGGGGGAGGACCTGTTCTGTTTTGGCCCTCCATCTCTGGAACAGCCTCCCTGCTGCCGCCCACTTGATGCCAAATTTGCTGTCTTTTTGGCTCCATATTAAAATAGCCCTCTTTATTGAAGCCTTTAGAGATCTTCCAGGACCTCCAGGAGCCTTATAGGTTTATCTAGGTGCCCCTTCCTTCCTTCCTTCCTTCCTTCCTTCCTTCCTTCCTTCCTTCCTTCCTGGGAATTTTAATTGTTTTTAATGTATTTTATGCAATTTTAATTAATTTGAATGTTCTAAATGCTATTCTATATATACTTTTTATCCTTTTGTGAACTGCCTAGAGAGCTTTGGCTACAAGCAGTAAAGAAATGCAGATGATGATGATGATGGTGATGGTGATATCATTCTGCATGCACTACTCTGATAGAAAACCCTACTGATTTTAGTAAAATGCAACAAATTTATGGGCTTCTACAGGAGGAGGGAGCTTAATAGATCAGATCTTTGAACAGTGCAACATTTGCATTTCCAGCAAAAATAATCCAGATCACTCCAAAACTTCACATTTACTTAATTGATATTCATATGGGTATATTTCTCATGAGTCAGTGTGGAGTAGTGGTTAACAGTGCAGGACTGGGATTCGGGCAATCTGAGTTCTAGTCCTCACTCAGCTTTAGAGCTAACTGGGTTACTTTGGGCCAGTCACAGTTTTTTGATCCAACCTACCTCACAGGGCTGTTGTTGTGAGGATATGACTGAGAGGAGGAAGAATTATGAAGCTCCCATGAGTTTCTTGAAAGGAAAAATGGTAGGATATAAATATAATTTACAATAAAATAGAAAGGGTGGTCTTTTTAGGTAAATGGGTGGGATTGATGGGGTAGAAATGCCTCTCTATCAGCAGAGGAGAGCTTTACCAGAGTGTAGGTAAGTCCCCCAGTATGGGCATGCATCTTTCTTTAGCAGTGTCACTGCCACTGGATCGATGACCCCTCCATTCTCCTGAGGCTCTAGTTTCAACCCCTTCCTTAAGCCAGCCTCTGGCTGACATAGGTATTTTCTCTTCTGTCAAATGGGCAGGAATGCTGCTTTTTAAAAGTGATAGAGAAAGAAGAAAGAAATCTGGCTGGTACAACTTGCCAGGACTTTGTCAGTGGCGTATGATGCACCATTTTCTTTCTTCTCCAACTCTGTTAAGGTTGGGTTTGCCTGACTGTCTTTCCAGAAATGTATAGTATTTGGAACAAGTAGTGTTCCTAGTCCATAGGATTCTATTTTATTTGTCCCATACCAGGTTTACCTTTGAAAATAGGTAACCATTCACTATTTTTACAAGAAATTCCAGTTTCTCCTGATGGATAATTCTTAAATCTTTATGTTTCTCTTATCTTTTTCATATACAGCCAGACTTCGATGTTGATCACTTTGTGTCTGAATGCAGAAAACGTGTTCAATTGGAAGAGCTTCGTGATGATCTTGAGCTCTACTACAAACTTCTCAAAACTGCCATGGTAGAGCTCATAAACAAGGATTATGCAGACTTTGTTAATCTTTCCACCAATCTGGTAGGTTTTCAGATTGAATGATTTCAGTGAGCATGAAATAATGTTTACTTATGCTGTTACTAGGCTTTGATTCTAATATTAACCATGGTACCAGAAGTGAGAAACATGGGACCTTAAAGAGGTGCTGGAAGGTCCCATATAGTACTTCAGTGTACAGGAGGGAGAAACTGTCAAAGCAAAGATTGGATTGGCATCTTTCAACTATATGAAGAACTGTTACTTAGCAAAGTGTGAAGAATCCTGGTTGGCAATGGGAATCTATCAGATTTCCTTGGCTCAGTGGTTCAGACTCCTGTCGACCTTTGTTCTGCCCTAAGTCTGCCTTGTACCAGGCATTGGCGTGAGCATCTGAATCTATGAGGCCAGCTTCTGCATATGCTGTTTGCACACCTGCAATATAAGCAGAGTTCTGCTTCTAAACATGTGACTTGTAGGCTCCGTGTCTTTTGCGTACTTTGTGCAAAGAACTGCATATTTTATGTACTTTGCGCAAAGAAGCCACTAGTATTTTGTAGCATTCGTGGACTTGATTTTAGCTTGGCTAACTTCCTGATGGGGGCTGAGCACAGGAAAGAAGTCCGGTGAACTCCAGGGAGTTGACTTCTGGCCTATTATAAAATAATAATACTAGGGTTCACATCCCTATTATTATTATTTATTTCATTTCTATGCTACCCAATAGCTGAAGCTGTCTGGGTGATTCACAGCAATTCACAAAAATTGCATGTGCAGATAATAAAGCAATAATACCATTTCTATAGCTAGACTTTTAAAAAGACAGGTAGCAGAAATGCCCAGTCATATTTATTATTATTATTTTATTTTTTCAATTTATATCCTGCCTTTTTCCTACAAAGGGCTCAAGGCAGCTTACATTATCTCTCCTCCTCCATCTTATCCCCACAACAACAACCCTGTGAGGTAGGTTGGGCTGAGAGACTGTGACTGGCCCAAAGTCACCCAGTTGGCTCCATGGCCGAGCGGGGACTCGAACCCAGATCCTCTGAGTCCCAGTCCCATGCTCTTAACCACTACACCACACTGGCTCTCTACTAGATGCTAGTAGGTACCATTTAATATCTGGGAATAGAGGCCAGTCTTAACCAGGCAATGAAAAGATGACAGCCTTAGTGCCTGCTGGGCCCCAGCGGGAAAATCATTGATAATCTGGGAGCAACCACTGAGAAGACTCTCCCTTGTTTCCATCCCCCAAACTTCCCTCTAAGGTGGCAGTTGGAGGAAGGTATCAGATGTTAATTATCCAGGTAGATTCAGATCAGGAGAGGTGTTCTGTCAGATAATAGGATGCCAAGCCAGGTTAAAAACTAGCACCTTGAATTGGGCTTAGAAGCATATAGGCATGCAGTGCAATACGTCTCATACCTTCTAGTTCCAGACCTTGACTTCTTAGTAGATGCTTGCTTTATCAAATGAACTTGACATACAGCTAGTAAAAGCAAAACTTTGCAGAGTGCTAGAAAGAAGAGCATTGTTTAAAAATCTAGAAATAAATTTGAATAAGAATGTAGGTGGTGAACATACCACTCATCCACAAGTTATGTCCTGTTTCTTTCAGCAGTCTTTTACACAGAGGTCTTTGGGCAGAATTGCAGACTGTCAATGAAAGTCACAAGCTAGCAATTTAGGAGTTCCATTTCTCATCTGGTAGCAATGATAGCCAATCCAAAGGAAAGTATATTTAAGTATACAGGCTAGATAATTTGGTGATAAGTAAACATTTTTGTACTTTTGTTTTCAACATAATTATTAAAATAAGTTTTGCATACGCAGATGTATTAGTAATGTATTTTGGCAATTTATTAGGTTGGCATGGACAAAGCCCTTAATCAGCTTTCAGTGCCTTTGGGACAGCTGCGAGAGGAAGTTATGGTATGTTGTGAAATTATCTGACTTGTCAATGCCATATGGAATTTGCATTTGTGTATGGGTTTTGCAGGGAGGTTTCTTAGTTTCTTTGAAATGGAAACAAGGTTGTATGTGCAGATTCTATATGATGCTGAAATGTGAGGGTTTTATATTGAAATAAAACACATTTCTTTAGAACAGGGGTCTGAGACTCACGGCCCACAGGCCAATTGCAGCCCGTGGGATGATATTTTGTGGCCCCCACTTGATATCAAAGTTTAGTGATAGTGCGGCCCGCGTTTTTCTTACACGCACTAATAGTGGTAAAAAAAGAAATAAGAATATCATATATAGAAATGAGAATCAATTTCCTTTTTCTCAACTATTAACTGATTAATTTATATTAAATGGGCTTCCAGTCCAGATGGATAATTTCATTTTTTTCTAGGAGAGTAAATACATGTTTATTAAAATATATTATTTGATTCAGACTGCAATCCTAAACTTATCTGGGAGTAAGTCCCATTGACCTCAATAGGATTTCCTTTGAGTACACTGGCATAGTATTACCCTTCAGTTGTATAGTTTCTTGAAAACTTAGTTTGGTAAAAAGCATCCAAGACTGCTAAGCAGGAATTTAAGCAGCCCCCTGGGAATAATTTTGCCAAAATAGGTTTATCTTATTAGAACATAATAAAACAGCACCATAAAATATTATGATATGCAAATCAGGTATAAATTTTCTAGCCTCAAGTTTTCCCTAGTGTGAGGTTAGCTTTATTGAGTTTGCAACAAATATACACTGCCTTAAAGGATTCACGAAGAGCCAATTAAAAATAAGCCTAAATGTATTATGTGTTGGGAAGGAAAGTAGGTCTATGTCGATTAAATATGCAGATGACACTAAAAATAGGATGTATTATTGAGAACCAGCAAGGCATGCAAGATTAGTTGGATGACCTCGTGAACTGAAGTAATAGAAATGGAATGAAATTGATGGAATGTCTACAAACCACCAGTGTGCAAAGATAACTAATGTAATTTCTAGATATTAGGACATTTTTATTCTACAGCGCCCCAGTGAAATTAAATTGGAAAAAAATTAAAGTCTCTGTCCTACTCATCTTTTAATTGAACTTTGCCACATTCAGTTTTCCTGGACTGTTTTTTCACAGCCTATACTCACCTTTTGGTTCTTAGCAGCTTCGTCACTAATCTGCTTAGTTTTCAAGGAGCTCCCTTCCTTTCATCTGTCAGTTACAGCTTGGAATCTCAGAATTTTCTGATCCTGCTGAAATATAATAAGAGTGGAAAATGGATTTTGTAAAGGGTAGTATTCTTTGTAAATTATGCCCCAAAACTGAAAGTCAAGTCATACCTACAATCCAAAACTTCTGTGGACCCCATTCTACATTACTATAGCACAGGGGTGGCCAAACTGAGGTTTAGAGCTACATGTAACTCTTTAAGTTTATTTTATGACTTGCAGCTTGCCATATTTTATGGCTTGCAGCACCCATGGGTACCCAATTGCCACTTGCTACCCACGGGCAATGCCTGCAGGCACCCACTTGTGGCTCTTATATATCTGAAATTTACCATATGTGGCTCTACCATTGAGCAAGTCTGGCCACCCCTGCTAAAGTGATATAATTGCAGAGGAAGCCACTGCAACATGCATCACTTCGATAAGAATGAAAGCCCCAGGTCACATGGGAGAAATCCACAATGTGTTCCATTCCACATCACTACTGACTTAAGTTCCCAGAAACAATGAATCATCATTTCCTGCTCTTCTAGTGCAACTTCAGACTGGAAGGATGCACCTTGCAATAGTTCGTAAGCTGCTAAGATAATGTTGGAAAGAGCCCTTACTAACTCCCGCAAATTTTGTTTTGAGTATTGTTTGGAGTATATCCCTGACCATGCCCATTTGGCATGCCCATCTCACCAACTAGCATGCTTGCCTGTTCTGTGGTCATCTGCCATGCCCAACATTGTTTTCAAATGCAGCCTGACATAGGTAAAACATAGTAAGATAGCATGGAACTAAGGAGCTCTCTGGGATCCATGTTTGGACACAGGAAGGGGCTACAGCTAAGCATCTATGGAAGGTGGTTGTCAAATGAGATGTGGATCTTTCTGAGGATTTGAAAACCCTTGTTCTCTTTGGTAATGCTTTTCAAAGTGATGCCAAGCAGATATGATCCGTTGTGGAAGAGTTACTAATACATGTATATAGTTATTTGGTTTATTTGGAAGAAAATGTAGTGTGAAGTGAGGTTTTCTTTTCTGTTGCTCTCAGTTCAGAGAATTAAAATGTTAAAATAGTTGCATTGTTCCTGCTTTGTGATGTGGAATATTCAAAAGTTTGCCTTCTTTATTTTTTCCAGAGTCTTAAGTCGTGTGTCAGTGAAGGAATTCAGGCAATTGATGAACGTCTAGCTAAACAAGAAGATATCAGGAGAAGAAAGGTCTGCATGTATTTATTTGCATTTTTGAGCAAAATGGATAAGCCATATTAAATCCTAATGATTAATTTGTGGGGTGAATTATGTGTAGGCTTCTAGTGCAGCAAAGTCAGTTAATTATCATTCCAGATTTGCCTCATTAGAAAAGCAGAGCATTTCTTTTTCTTCTTTAATTAATGGCTACTATTTTTTTAGATTTAAAAATATTAAAACAATATAATACAATAGTACATCCATAACAGCAAAATATAGAAAGAGAAAAAAAGCTTACAATGCAAATAAATTGTATCATGTAAATCAGTCAGAAAGATTAATATTTAGTTTATTGCTAGTAAACACAAAAGGTACACTCCCACACCAGGACCTTCAGCTACATGGTAATTCTTTATTCATATCCTTATTCTCCTTTACTCCTTCTGTGCTTTCCCTCTTTCAGAATGACGCTCCTGCATCCAAAATTGCATTGAATCATGCAAAGGCTTACTACCCTTCCCTTTTATTAATACATGTTCAATAAATAACCCCCAAATGTCATTAAAATTGTTCTTGTTTGTCAACCCCTTTTTCACCTTAATACTGGACATTAACTTATCACTAACAGCTATTACACAATTTTTTTTATACCATTCACTTAATTGGAAATTCTATTTTCCCTCCAATTCTTTGCTATAATTAATCTTACAGCTCTTAATAATGTTATTAATTCTTTAATATTCCATTTCCATTTATATGAAATAATGACAATAATACAGTTCCAGTGACTACTTCAATATCTAAATTCAATTTTTTGCTTAAAAAAACATTTTCCAAAATTTCCTAATATTTTCACATTCCCACCACTTGTGAAATTATGTACCCACTTTTTTGCCACAAAGGTTTAAAAGAGATCTCTCAATTTGTTAGTGTTCTAATTCTGCCCCTACTGCCTTTTTGGGCTGTAATATAATGTCTGGTATATGTATCTCATTTGATTAGCTACATAATATAATTTGATATTTGGTGTATCTAATCCTCCCAGTTTTAGTGGTTTATACCATCTTTCTTACTAATCTTTGTTTTTTATCTCCATTACAAAATGTGTTAATCATATTTTGCCAATCTTCCAAACCTTTTTGTAATATCTTAATCAATACACACCCCAAACAAAATATTAATAGGTAAAATTGTCATTTTATATACTGCTATTCCACCATTCCATGGTAATCCTATTTTCTTAAATTGATGCATTTGGTCCTTTATTTCAGATTTCAATATATCAAAATTATTCTTTCTTAAACATTGAAGATTTGTTTAAATGTTTATATCTAACTATTCAATAATTTTACGTATCTTAATTTGAAATTTGTTCTTGTTCTTAAATCCCTCCTTTTCTTCATTATTGCCATTTATCAGTTGCTGTTAGGATTTATCCCAATTAACTTGTAGACCTATGATCTCTGCAAATTCTGCTAAATGAATTTTAACCAGTTCCATAACATTAGGTGGGTCTTTTAACGTCTCTAATTCTTATGCATTTTCTTACTCTTAACATACCTTCCATGTACACTTAACATTGTAGACAAAAATTTTTAAAAACCAGGTTTTAATTCATTTTTAATTGAATTCTTAAAGCATTCTTTAATTCTTAAAGCATAGAAGTTTGGGTTTTGATTCCATATATGGTTTTTCTTATGCATTTATTTAAACGTGATAACTAAGAGCACTGTCTTCAAAATGTGCTTCTGCTCTGACGCAATTTAGTAATCTCCTTCATACTAGAAAACACCAGGTATACCTGGGAACTGGATACAATTACTCACCTCCTAGCCATGGCTGTTGCTCAGATGGCATGAAGAATGGAGAAGTGAGTGTCACTCTGGTACTATAGAACACTTCGGCAATCACTCTGTAACATAGTACTTGCATGTTTTAACTCTCATCTCTAGAAAAGAAGAAATGAGTTCCCTTACTCATTGGCTCAAATGGTATATTTCTTGGACAGGAAAGTACCATTCCACCCAGTAGTAGCTCAGATTCAACACGAGACATTCTCTTTGCTTTTTTATAACAAACAGATGTGTGTGTTGAGACTCATTCAAGTTATTAAATCAGTTGAGAAAATTGAGAAAATTCTTCACTCCCAAAAAGAAACATCATCACTGGAAGGAAGCAGGTAGGGCATTGGAATTTGATTCTTTCATTCAGCAAGTTGTTTTTGCTTAGTTATATATTTTCCTTAAAATCTGTGTATCAGTTTCCAGCTATAATAGCATAATGGCAACATAGCAAATGTATTTTTACAGTTAGCAGAGTGTGAGGCAGAATTTACAGTTGTGTGAGGCAGAATTTGACAAGTGTGAGTCTGTGAATCTCTTCAGTTGTTTTCATTGTTTGGCCATCAATTAAGGACAGCTGTAGCCACAATGCTTTCCCTACCATAGGTATCGCTTCTGTGAATGGAAGACATATGGTGGCACCCCACCTCACCTTACAAATGCACGTGTATCCATTTCATTTTTGTATACTTGTTAGAATGCTGTGGTTGGCCCAGTGTATACATGTATGCCCTCTTCATGTCTACTGAGAGATGTGTCCTGCATGCTTCATTCTGCAATACCAATATTAGAAAAATATCACTTGTGAGAAAGGCATAAGACTAAAACATTTTCATAGCCTATGGAATCTTCTTTCACTGTTTAATAAGAAAATCCTTCAAAACGCAAAATTTGAAAATGTCAGTTTTCTAGCCAGTTTTCTTACCTTTATATCTTCCTGATGTCAGTATAAGAATATGATCTCATGTATTAGTTGGTTCAAAGCGAGTTGAATGCATGTGTCCAATCACAGACTTGTTACATAATCTACATGGTCCCTGTTGCTGGAAACTGGGCCACCCATTATTGCGGGGCTTGAACAGGTGTTTCTTGCAAAGGGAAACCCATTAAAATAGAGTCCTACAGTGAGAACATTTCTTCTTATATAAGTGAGTGGCAACCATTCACTTATATAGAAGAAAAGAAAGGGGTAACTAAAGGATACTGTAATGGTGGAGTGTGAACTTGTTTCCTGTGCTATGATTTCAGTCAGCTGTTCCCAACAGTCTAACTATAGATTACTACATAACCCTGATTTCTTGCCATATAAAATGGCCCTGCCAATGTATATTTAAATATAAAGCAAATGTTTGGAGCTAGAGTAAAATCAGAACATCTTTTGCAAGAGAATAAATGGATTTGGATTATGTTCTGCCACTGTGTATTAAAATTACGTCCTTACGCTTGTCTATTCTTTTTCAAGCCCACTTCTGACTGGACAGATTTTAGAGCGAATTGCTACAGAATTCAACCAGTTACAATTTCATGCAGTTCAGAGCAAAGGAATGCCACTTTTAGACAAGCTGAAACCAGTAAGTATGTTGCCTTATCACAGATACATACGTACATACTCAGCAGTATTATTTTCTATTTTGCTCTAGATCAAGGCACAATCCTATGCATGTTCAAACAGGAAAAAGTCCAGCAACACCCAGCACAGAAACATGCATCATATTCTACCTTTATTTAAAGAAGAGTGAATGGAGCCATGTATATGAATGTTCATGCTCTTATTTTGGAAGATATTTGAGAAGAATAGGCAAGGATCTTGCTAATAATTATTTTAGTGCAGCTAATATTTTCATTTGTGTTAAAAAAACTCTTCTAGCGTATAGTTGGAATAACCGGTATGTTGCAACAATCTCTGGAAGGATTGCTTTTAGAAGGTCTTCAGGCTTCCAACATTGACATTATACGCCATTGCTTGCGCACCTATGCAACAATAGACAAAACACGGGATGCTGAAGCATTAGTTGGTGAAGTGCTTGTGAAACCATATATCGATGAGGTAAGAAAAGCTGATGGTAAATGATTTGGTAATGTTCTTGTATGTATGTATGTCTAACTTTTTGGGGCTACTGCTAGCTTATCAGAACTGGCTAAATTAGAGTAAAGGTAGAGTAGAAAAGTATGCCAGTCACTTGACCTCGTTCACTATATCTTAAAAACTTAGGTGCCAAAAGCATATACTTTAGCATATAATGGCAATGATGCACAACAACATTGTGAGTCTATGTATTGCACACCCCTTTGCAATTGCTCCTAAAAATTAAAGTTGATTTAACAATCGTTCATCTCCTATTAAAAAAAAAAAAACAGTATTGTGAGCCTATCTGTATCTAAACAGTAATTATTGACTTTGGACTGCATGGAGTCTTCTTCTTTTTTGCATTGTTTGCATTCTTTTCTTGCATGGTGCTTCACTTTGATGTTGAATGCTTTTTAACAGGTGATTATAGAAGAGTATGTTCAGTCTCATCCTAATGGCCTCCAGACCATGTACAGTAAATTGCTGGAATTTGTTCCTCTCCATTGTCGCCTCTTACGTGAAGTAACAGGGGGTGGTATCTCAAGGTAACTCTTTTTTCAATGTTATGAACCATGTTGTAAGGGTTTTTATAAACAAATAGGTACTTTAAATGATGTGAGTAGAATTCCTGATTCCCTTGGTGAAATCTGCAGTAATCTATATCCTGCGGCAAGGAATAGCTGCCATGGGACATGCTGAGAATATTTTTAATGAAAATATAGCTAATCCATCTAGTCCAATTGACTACAGTATCTGGCAGTAGCTCACCAGGGATTCAGACAGTCCTCTTACCCTGGCCTACCTGGAGATACCAGGGATTGAACCTGGGATCCAGACTAGGTGCTCTCCCACCAAATTATGCCCCCACATTACATGCACACACTTAATATTTTTTTAAAAGTTTAAAAAGAAGAAAGAAAATAATACAAGTAACAATTACATAGAAACATAGAATGTCAAGACTTTTTAAAAAAATCTCGGTTAGCCAACAATTACTATCCTTCTACTCAATCTTTTTTTTTCCAACTTAGTTAAAATTCGTTGTAAATTCTTCTAATCTCTATGCATACTATGTTCTGTTGCTGCTTTTTAAATCCTGCTGGTGCAAAAAGAAAAAAAATCCCCTGCAGAGGAGGAAGTGAATTGCATTTCACGTATGGCTTATTTTGGAAGAGCAATAAATGGATTAGGGCCTGGCAGCACTTATCTCAGTTTTTGGTGATGTTGTTCACAGGCATGTTTTATTTAGATGTCCAAGCATTGTTTGCTCAGTCCCATTTTTAAGACAGTTTGAATTATTAATCAGTGATTTCTTCCCAATAAATTATCCTGTGTTTGTATTAAGACTAGTGTGTGATATAATATGACCCAGCTATAAACTATGCCATAAACTGTGTATGCCTCTGTTTGGCTCCTGGTTCCCCTCTGCCCCAAATGTCAACTCACTGCTCAGCAGAAAGTGATTTTAGATTTAGAATATATTTTCTAGATAAATTCTCCAGTCCTATAAAAACAACATGCATTCTTTAAATGGTTATGTATTTTGCAGCAGGAGACATCAATTGGTTTTAATCTGATGATGACAGCAAAGTGTCACAAATAGAAAGCATGGCTGTGCTATGAAACCCAGCGCTATATATGGTGCAAGATATTACTGTGGATTCTTTTATTTTCAGTAAAAAATCATTCATCAGATAAATATTAATTTAATCTTGCAGTGAAAAAGGGAATACTGTTCCTGGATATGACTTTTTGGTTAATTCTGTGTGGCCAGAAATAGTTCGTGGTTTAGAAGTTAAGTTGCCTTCACTCTTTAATCCGGGGAATCCAGATGTCTTTCATGAGGTAACTTTAAATATGTATATTAACTATATCTTTTGACAGAGTGAGCCAAGATGTGCAAATCTTCTAGATTAATTGGAAAAAGAAGTTTAAATACAAAATGCTGAACTATTACAGAGGTTGCAGTTTCTACACAGAGATTAATACTAATGTAAAGGAAGTGTTTATTTGGTAATATGAAATGCTCTTGAGCAAACAGTATTTGAACTTCTTCAATCTCAGGCTGTTTACTTAATCTCTTATCCAAAAGTCTCAACTCTGACTATTAGATAATTTCTCATTAAGCACTTCAAAAGATAACCTCAGAGAGGTGTACAAATACAGAAAGATTTTCTGAAGCAAAATTAATTAAGTGCAAGGCAGGGGAGGCTAGCATGGGAACTAAGGACGAGTACATGGGCCTTCCCATTTTTCCTCACAAGTCCTCATATTGATCTTCCTTACTTTCACTTTTCAGTTTAACTCAGTAGAACTTACATTTAGGTAATTATACATTTCTTGATTGATTGATTGATTGATTGATTGATTAAATTTGTATAAAAGCCACCCATTAGCATAATGCTGTTTTTGCGTCAGTTACAATAAAAATGACTGCCCAGATTGGTTCAGTTTGGTTAAGATTGTTAATGCAGTAGGAACAATTAGCGCTGAAAATGCCATTTTCCCTTTATTATGGAAATAAGATGAATGGCTTTTCCAGTTCTGTTGTTAACTGTGCATGGATTTGATGGATTTCTCATGGGTTTCAAAGGAAGATAAAGTAGAGCGCTATGAGCTTTCCCCCACCTGGTACTCTCCAGGTACTTTCGACTGGAACTCCCATGCTGGCTGGAAGTTCCAGTCCAATGTATTTGGAAGGCACCTGTTAGAAACATAGAAACAGAGCTAGTCAGAAGAGGTCTCCCGGGCCATCTAGTCTGACCCCCGGCTCCAGCCGGCTCCTCTTACGACATGCCCACCATGTGCATGTCCAGCCTATGAAAAAAATGGGAAGGCTGCACTATGTTTGCTATCCATCTGTTTAGTAATCTACTTAGTATGCAGCTTAATATATATTTTCCATCTTCAGAAATACACTGTAAGCATGGATTTTGTAAGGAAGTTTGAACGGCAGTGTGGTTCCCAAGCCAGTGTAAAAAGACTAAGATTGCATCCCTCCTACCAGAGCTTTAATGATAAGTGGAATTTACCTGTTTACTTCCAAATAAGGTCAGTATTTTGAGTATTATATCAAAGGGGCATGTGCACAGTTTGATCATTGGTACACTTTACTGTCAAAAGATGTGTCATTTTTTGGAAGATGCATTTGTTTGCTGCTGCTAAAAACATATGAAAAGCCAAAATGGCATGTTCACATAGCTAGCTCTGCAAGCAGACAATCAGAAGAGCATCCAGAGATACCCACATTTTGGGTGCTGTACTTCACTCTCTTGCTTATCAGCTTGCCCAGGACTGATGTGCATTAATTTCAAATCTTACAGAACTTTGCTGTTGTATTTTTTGTCAACTTTTCTGCTATGAGGGAGAGGAATAGTTTCTCATCTTTACTTATCTGGCAATTCATAAATTTATTGCTACAAGATGCCAGTGGAATTATAAGAACTGGTAAAATTCTTATTGTCTTTTTGTGGTAAGACATGCATTTTAGGATGCAGTCTAAATAAGCCTCTGAACTCAGAAGCAATTTTCACCATCCCTGCATTTTTCCTGCAATGGCATTTCAGAAGGATTCTGTATTGGCTTCAGGATACCTTATATCCTGGCTGTTTCAGGCTGCTTTTATTCCTGCCCCCTTTAACCCCTCTCTGAAGTTGCTTTCCCAGCCTCAGAGAGCAGCCAGCACAGTTCTTTCCATGTGGGCTGTTAGAAGGAGGGGCACTGAAGCTCTGAGTCCCAGCACTGAGGTCACAGTGCTGTCTCTGACCTTGCATGTGGGAATGCATGCTATCCTAGGGTCTGCAGACAAGGTTAAAAAGCCGCTGCTGTAGGGAGGGAGCAAGGAATTGCGAGATGCAGATGGCAGGACGAAGGCACCTGGGTTATGTCCCAGAGCCAGCTGGGGGCCGAAGTGGAAGGACAGGCAGAACAAGGCACAGCAAGCCTGATCATGTCTTAGGAGCACCTTGGGTTTTTCACTGTGCAGCCTATTTGCAGGGTCACTTAGTGCGACAAATACAAGCACTGACTTAAAAAGAAATTAGCTACTCTTTCAGAACTATATTTCTAAGAAATGTGGCTGGTTGTCAATCAAGGTTTATGATAGTGCTTTTGGAGTTGTATCTTCTTTTTTTAATGTTCAAACTATGAGTTGAACTATTGATTTCTATCCCCTAGAACTGTTTGTAGAACCTTGTGCCAGTGTCCATTAACAAATACGATGGAAACTTGGAGCTGCGGTCATGCGACCTAGCCATAGGTCAACTCAAGCAAAGCTAGGGCACATGTCCAACTTGAGCAATTCTGGCAGCCAGTTTGATGGCCTCTGTGTGAATAGAATGCTGAACTAGATAGGCCTTGGATCTAATTCTGTATAGCTCTTCTTATGTTCTTATATTCTCTGCTTTCTTCTACTTCCTTTAGTGTAAAAATAAATGTTAATTCCACAAAGTAGGGTGGTTATGTGCATTTCCAGAAATAGGCACTTTTTCACTGTAATGCTGTTAACCCTAATGCATTTGTCTCTTGTATAACATAAAATTTGGTTGCAATTTGCAAAATCCCCAAAGTCTTCTTAAGTAGATAATGAAAGTTCTGGTGCAAACTGAGTGGAGGCTAGGAAAAAGTGTGAGCACCCCTGTTGGATTATCAACCTTTTCCAGAAACCTGGCTGGATTCCTTAGGGGCCTCATGAGGTCAGGTATCCCCTCTGCCCTCTTTCATCAGCCTATCCTGTTGTCTGGGGTTGACCGTTATATCCCATGTCTTGCATTCTGTCAGCATTATTTTTTTATCTTGGCAGCAAGAGCTGACACTGATAATGAGAGTGTACAGCCTAGAATTACTGGATAAATGTAGATCAGTCCTGCAAACAGGCAGTCTTGGTTTCAGGATCTGTTTAGCTATGTGCATGAGTGACTTGGGCTCAGCCAGATTGGGCAAGAAACGCTATCACAGCAGCACTTTATGTCACAGCTGTCATTTCTGTACTCCAAACTCCTATAGAAAAAGAAGTGAGGCTTGTTTTGCTTCAAAAGTGGTAGTGGAGACATAGTGGAGTTTGATTTCAGTATATATACATTTTATTCATTCAGCTTGGTTTATTTAACTATTTATTTATTCAGTTATTAATCGTTAATGTAGTAATGCTGCCTCCAGCAACTGAAATTCTCTGAGCGATTAGCAATGTAATTCCAACCTGTTGAATTCAAGTGGAATAAAGAACCACCATGTAAATTAAATAAATAAAGTCAACAGCAGTAAAACTTATGTAGAGCAGGACTAAAGGCACCAAAAGGTTTCAAGATCAAATGCCCTGGAAAATATAAAGGCCTTCACCTGGTAGTAGAAAGAATACAGTGTGGATACTTAGATGAGTTTGTCTAAGGAGGACATTCTGCAACTTGGGTTGTATCACCAAAAAGCTGTGGTAGGGTGTGATATTTTGGAGACTCCTGCAGTATTTGAGTTTGAGATATGTTGGGGGAACTTTAGCTGCTGCTCTTGCAGTGCTAAAATGCCAAACATAAGCTTAAGGTAATACTTTTTAACTGGAGTGTCACAGACCACTTACATTTGTGTTTATTTTTTAGGTTTAGAGAAATAGCAGGGGCCTTTGAAGCATCCCTATCTGATGACTTGGGGGAAGCTCCAGGTAAAGTTCTTTATCATAATTGCCATCCATAAATGCATTTAAGTTTGCCACTGAATGCAAAGCTTCATTTTCTCTTACTATAACGTTGAAGGTCCTCATATCTGTCATGTTGTAATATTGGGATCTCAGGTACCTCAGTTATGCTACAGGAATAGTTCAGTGCCTCTGTTTGTTCAATCCTCTGAGGAGGACCAAAATGAAATAATTACTTCTACTCCTCAGGAATGTTTCCTGCTTTTAGTCAATGACACCTACTGTAGGAGAACTCATGTCTACTGTGATGCCCCAAAATTAAATAGTGGTGAGGAATTGATGTGTAGCAGGATCCATCAGAAGGCATAATATATTAGCTTCAAATGAAGAAAACTGAATTGCCTTGAAAAGACACCTCTGTCATCTTATATGAGTAGGCTGTGCTTATAAAGAAGCTAGGCAGCAGCCATGGACCTTGAGCTGGAAATAAGAGAACAAAACAACATTTTGTTCATATGCATTGGTAGTATTGTCTAATAGCTGGATAGTTTTCAGGGGGCTGGGGCAGGAAGCAAACTAGTGCAGAAATGTGTATTTAAGGTACAATAATAGACCGAGATCAAAACTGCAAATATAGCTGTCTCCATTCCTCCTTTTCAGCTGGAAGTCCATATTGTCTCTTGGCTACACATATGGCATGGACAAGTTTACAGAAGTGTTGGTCAGCTCAGATATTCCTGCCATTACTAGCACACCGTCTGTGGAAGCTTTCTCTGCAGATCGTAGCACGCTATTCATTTTTTATTAATGAGGTGAGGAAAACTACAAACTGGTCTCACTGTTACATAGCTCTGCTTTTCTCAAACCTTATACTAGAATTTTCAAGAAAGCCTAAAAGTGGTAGGACCAGCCTAGTACTGTTTAACTGTAACTTTATCAAATGCGATTGCTGTCTTGATATACCGAGATGCATCACTTCTTTGTTGCTGCTGTGTGTATGTGTGTATGTTTGTGCTTTATGGAACAGCTTTTGCTCAGGCCCATCTCTAACGAAAGTTCAAAGGACCATAAAAAACTACTGACAAGCATTAACAAGGAATCTGTGCTGAACCCCAGCTCTGTTGAGGAACAACGGAATGACTCCAGTCCTGATCCTCAGTCTTTACCTTCCATTTCTACTACTCAACTCATGCTTGTTGCTGCGGATTTGGACCACCTTCAGGAATGGGTCAGTATGTTTTGCATGCAGTAATAAAAACCATTCCTCGGCATCCCAATGATTAGCATGGATGCTTTCAGATCCCTCTCTGAATAAGAGTACTGAGACCACAAGAAGTTTGCAATCATTCATAGACCCCAGCTGCACAACCAGGAACATTCCCTAGCCGCCATCTCCATTGGCCAACTTCTCTCCCCGCTCGCTGCCACTGCCAGCAACGTGCAGGGAAATGGGGCACAGTGAGCAGGTGCACCGGCCATCTTTCCCAGCAGTCAGCCTCCCTACCCATTCATTCTCGCCACTGCCACCGGCAGTGCACTGGGAAATGAGGCACAGTAAGTGGACCTGCCAGCCTCCATTCCTGAGAGTCAACCGTGGTGCCACTTGCACAGTGCATGGGGCTCAATTTCTGCCAAGCATCCCACAAACCCTGGGCATGCTCACCAGGAACTTGGACTCTGGGCACCTGCAAAAAAGGACTGGAGTCTGGGAAGCTGAAAACCAGGGAATCTGATGGATTTTCTGCCCAAAGCACATTTCTTGCACATCCATAGTGCTAATACTCACTCTGAATGCTGCAAAAATATCTGTTGCAAATGCAGAAGTTACAATAATCTTGGTGCACTTGGTATTAATGAGAGACCATATTTACAAAGGTTAATTTTACTTACTTTAAGCATCGTTGTCTGTTGGAGAAACCCACAGACTAATTCAATGAATGCAATGTGTTGTGAAAGAGATTATTTCCATCCCCTTACCAGCCACCAGTTTGTCATGCTCATGGCTTCTCCATCAGTTTTTCACAACCCCTGATAGAAAGCTGTACTTCATTTTGTGGGACTTTGGGCTGGAGGTGACTGAGCTACGTGTTCAGTTGGTGGTGTAAATTTTCAATGCTCAGCCTTTTCAGCGTCAGTAAGAGGATAATGTTCCACTTTAAAACTACAAAACCTCATAACTTGTTGATGTGCTGTATAGTCTGCTTGAGTATGATTTTACTTTTTAATCTGTTCTTCTATTGAAGGTTAATTAAATGCTTCGAGGAGCAAATATGTTATTTTGAATAAAACTGTTCCATTAATTCTAGATGTTTTGCCTGGAGGACTGAAGTGGTGTAGGGCATTGCATGCAAAATCCTTTACTTGTGTGTGCACCTGGTTTATTCTCTTAAGTAGTTTTGTGTAGAGTGGAGTGTGGCAGTAAAATTAGGTGTTTGTTACACACAAGTAATTTCTCCTTAATACAGGGGAGACTCGAAGATCTTGAGAAAATATATTCAAATGTATACATAATGATTTTGCATGTTGGTTTTCACTCAGCTTCCTGAACTGATGGAAATTATCAAACCAAAACTAGCAACAGTGGGATTCATGAATATAGACTGCATCTCAGGTAAAGATGAAATCAATTCTTTGTTACATGTTTGTACAATTGTAAAATATTACATGTTCACCTTCCAGTGAACCTATTCTACCAAATTTCTTCTTTTGCAAAACAAAATCATTAACTTGAGAGATTGTTCTGGATTCAAGAATGTTCAACAAAATTTTAGGCAATGGGTTTGAAGGTAATTGCTTTCTCACCCATTCTTTCTAAATGCTATTGAATTTCATACATGTGACTTCCTTACTCCTTTTTAGCAGATTGTGATTAGGAAATCGGGAGTACCCATGGAATTGCTTGTTCTTTTCTATCCCACCTCAACTCTTACAAAAGATACCCCCCCACACACTTTTTGGAGAAAACAATGATGAAATGTTATACTTGCACAGGTACATTTTCACCAATACTTACATTGTATGTTTGCAAACAATCATTTATGGTTATTGATAGGTAGCAAAAATACCAGTGCAAGCATAACTTCTTGCTTGGCTCATAGTGAGGCAGGGAGTTCACATGTGAGAAAGGAGGATAGAAGAGAAATGAGCCCATTTGATACTCCTGATTGCCAGCTATGGTCAGAAGAGTCGGCACTATTTTAACATCAACACCAAGTCTATGGGAGTTTGAAACATAATATTGTAACCTAAGAGCATCCTAAGTTGTAAACACAGCATAATAAATAGTATCTCTCTTTTTCTTGGTTTGTTTGTTTTTCATTACATTCTGTGAAAGAAATGAAGGAGATGAAAAATATGTGTGCCTTGAGTTCCTTAAAAAGAAAAGGGTGGGCTATAAATCTAATAAATAAACTAGGAGCTCAGATTTTACTACACTTTTTTCCTTACTAGGAGCACTGGAAGACTCAAAGGATTCTTTACTGGGTTGTTGGCCAGCCTTAAACAGTAAAATCATTCAGGATTTAAGTGACTCCTGCTTTAGTTGCCTGAAAAGTGCTGTAGAGATCCCAAGACTATATAGAAGAACCAATAAGGTAGTGAGTTGCATATTTTAAAAATAAATACTTACATGTTGTAGGATGTGTTGTTCACTAGCTGGCAGCTGATAGCCCCCTGCCTAAGGGATCAGTAGCTTCACCTTTCATCACCTTTCTGGATAGGAATAGTCCCTTGCAACTTTCGCAGGCCTCTGCTTTATACACTTAATAAATTTTGTATCTCAGCCTTCAGCAGTGCACTCAGGGTAGTCAACAATAAAAACTCTAACAATAATACATGCAGAGCAGCAGGCCTCATGGAGCCAAAAGGTTATGCACCCCCCTCCCCCCTGGTAGCATAATCTCTGCATGGAACAATGAAACAAAAATGGGTGGGTGGCACATGACAGCAAAAGAGTGGGTGTCAGGGGCCAAGCCCTTAATATCATGCAACCCACTGAATTGGTTCAGGAGGGTTTTCTGGATCCCAGGCCAAAAAAAAAAAAAAGTTATTTACCTCTGGTTGAACACAGTAGGAACAAGTTTTTCTTCATGTCCCCTTCCTTCAAACACTGGATGTTTGTTCAGATGTCAAAACCGTCTGAGGCATAATTTATCATCCTTTAACAGCCTATTTTCTTATTGAGTTAATTTCTGTTTGCTTTTCTACATTTTATGATATTGGCAGTACTCATTGTGAACATGCTGAAACATGGGGAAAGATGTTTAATTTGAGGGTTAGCTGGGCGGGGTCTGCTGTGTCACATTTCTGGGAAGCTTGAATTGCTGAAATCTCATCACCAGCTTTCTGCCTGATACCGTTTTCTTGCTGATGATAAAGAATTTCAAGGCTTTCATGAGCAAATAAAACTAAGTTTTCTAACTTGCCATGTACTGATGATGTGTGGAGTGTCATGTTTTGCTGGCTGTAGACACTAAAATGCCAAACTATTTACTCTCTTGTATTGCCCTCACCCTGTGTGTCATTTAACCAGGAAGTGCCAACCAAGGCATTGCCGTATGTTGATGCTGCTGTTAAACCTTTCTATCAGCTGAAGAATGAATACAAAGATACGTTAAAACCAGCTATAATTGAGCAGTGGCTTGAAGGAGCACTCAGTACAAGCACCCAGAAGTAAGTGCAAAATTTGGTGAGGCTTTATTCATCAATAGAAACCGGGCAACAGTTTACTTAGGTCAGAAGGGATGTAAGACCTTTGGCATGTTAGCTGGTCTCTTCTTTGAAGTTGGTTTTAATTGGTGCTGCTTATTTCTTCTATTGTTTGTAATTAATTTATTTCATTGTTCTAGTTTAACTAAGATCTTGCTTTTCTTCTGTATTTTATAGTTAGCTGACCTTTGGCCCCCTGCAGCCTGATGAAAATAGAAGTTTAATTTGTGATTACCATGATACAATAGTGTAGCCCCTCTGAAAACCCAGAAAATGGCTATCAGTCAGTGTCTACAAATACCAGCCTAGATGGAATATCCCCATTGTCCCTAACTGATTATAGCTGTTCCACAGTTTTTTCAGTGTTTAGTGTGAAATTTCAGAAGTTACTATAATGTTGGAACAAAATTGTAACAATTGGTTGCTACTGTTTCTTATCTGCTATATGCAAAGAAACCTGAACTTGCTGTGCTGTTTTGGGAGCCAGGTTTGTGTCTCTTGGGTAACACACAAAACATTCACACACTGCAACTCCAGCCCCACTTTAAAATGGAGTCAAGCAATTGGCCAGTATAAGTGCCAGTGCCTTGTTTTATAATGACACTGGAAACTACTATAAGCACATAAATTGAATGTTTAAACATTTCCTAAGTTCTGAAATACAGTATCTATGCCATTAATTTTGCTAAATCTTAAGCACCTGCCTTGCTGATTTCATTTAGTTGCAATGATTAGTAAAATCAGGTATATTAATAAATCAAATAGGTATTACATACAGAAAAAGTAGAGCACTGTCCTAAGCAATTTCAGTCTCTTGAAAATAAGTTACATTCAAGCACAAGTGACCATTTGATAGTAGTCATGCTTGTTCTTCACTTTAGTCATCCAACTACTGGTTGAGCCGTTGGCGTCACTGAGCAGCTATCGGGACATCTTACTGATGCTGTGTCTGCAGACAAGGTTCCTGGAGGGAGGGGTAAACTACTTCAACTCCACTCCTGGTGCTCAATCAGGGAAAAGACTCTGCTAGAGAGAAGCAGTTTTGCATTCACCCCAGAACCTTCTGCTCTTCCCTAGACTCCTCTCTGGTTTCCCCGAGACCCCAGGGCATCCTGCATTGTTGCTTCCTCGATGCTTATAGACAGTCAGCCAGGGCACGTAGACCTTCCCCTCCTCCAGTCTCATGAAATAGTTCTCTCCTCTTACTAATTTGGGGGAAAGCATTTCTGTCACCATAATACACCCAGCCACTGCCACACCACTCAAGATTACAGCAATACTGGAATGTGTTTCCCTTCCTCCGCCCTTGAGGCCAAAGCAAGCCCTGCAACAGTCTGTAACAGTGTCTGCTGGGCAACCCGGCTGACTTTCCACTTCTTGGCCTGAAACTAACACTGCACCTTTGTCTCTAGTTTTGGACACAGCCATGTTGGTTCCATCCGGGCCTCCTGAGCCTCATCAGCATCTGATTTCCCATCACTGCTGTTGTTCCTCCATGGCATTATGCTCTCATTACCAACAGCAGCTATCCGAGTGAAGGAGCTGCCAAAGGAGTAGAGTCTGTGTATTGGGAAAACGGAGAAAAGCTCACTTCAGGACGACTGCGTGGGTCCTACAGAAACCCAGAGCTGGTCCTGCACAGACTAATAGCTGTCTTCCACATAGGATTTCTGGATTCTGCTGAAAAAGACCCAGTCTTGTAAGAGATGTTGTTGGGTCTGACAATTTATGCCCATCTTTCTGTGTAGATAATGGCTTGGTATTGCTAAAATCCAGTCAAAATTGAGCACTTTGTCCCATTAAATTCAGCACAAGACAGAATTACATTTCGTTAGCTCATTTATATCTCTTCCTATTTCATGGACTCAGATTTATTTATTTATTATTTATTTATTTGAAGGTTTTGTATGCCGTCCCATTCGTGTGAGCCTCAGGACAGCTTCCAACACAATAAACAAACAGGCATATAAACAATACATATTAAAATCCGGATTCACCCTGGCTGTAAAAATGAAAACCAATAAATAATATTAACAGTTATTAAAATATTGTTTAAATAAAAAGGTCTTGGCCTGGTGCCGAAAAGCAAATAACGACGGCACCAGGCGGACCTCTCTCAGAATGAATTACAGCAGTTTCTTCTAAATATTAATGGTTCTGTTTGCAAAGAACTTACAGTCTAACCCTTTTGTTAATTTCTATTTTCAGGTACTTTGAAACAGTATCAGACATTTTGAGTTCTGTAAAGAAAATGGAAGAGAGTTTGAAAAGACTAAAGCAGGCCAGGAAAACAGTGACTGCAAATAGTACCTTTCCAAATGGAGGCATGAGTGATGATAACAAAATCCGCCTTCAGTTGGCCCTAGATGTGGAGTACTTTGGAATTCAGGTAACTTGATTGCAAACAGAACTGTTTTTGTTGAATAAACAAAGATAATGGTCTGCTTTTGCTCAGCCTGAAATAAATATTTATTTCTCTTTCATTATATTTCTCGATGATGTTCACATGCCCTTCTAACCTAGTATTCTCATAGGGGAGATTGCTACATTGCTGCTTGCCTTGAGCAAGCAATGAACATTTGATGGTGTAGTTTTACAGTCACGATTACTGCTTTTAGTGGAAGCTTCGAAGTTTGTTTTAAACATACAGGAAACCTCTGTATAAGATACATAAAGCCCTTTAATGAAATTAATTTAAATCACTAAGTGCTAGAGTGGAGTGGTGGTGGGACTGTTGGGCTGAGACCGAGGAGATCCAGGTTCTCGTTTCCATTTGGCCATGAAGCTCACTGGGTGACTTTGAACTAGTCATTGACTCTTAACCTAACCTACCCCAGAGGATTGTTGTGAGGATAAAATGGAGGACTCTTTAAACTGCCGTGGGTTCCTCACAAGAGGAAAAAAGGTGGGTTTATAAGTGTAACGTTCTGTGAGTAGTGGTTGTGATGAAGATGATGGATTAATGGTTACTTAACAGAAGTGCCACAACCAGATTCATTGGTGTTTTTTTCATCCAGACTCCAGTTATGTAAGTTTTTTTTCTTTTCTCCCAGCCATGGGAAATATTGGTCCAGAATGCAGCAGCAAAGTTGCTGATAGGGCATAGCTAAGTGGAATGTGCGTATTCTGTACCAGTTGTATTGGCTGTGTGTTGTTTGTGGTTTGATTTCAAATTCTGGTTTTGGGATTTAAAGCCATGAAGGCAAAAAAACAGCAATAAAAAATAATAGAAAATTAATAACATCATTAGCTACATCAGTGTAGAACATGTGAACATTCTCAATTTTTTAAAACTCGTAAGATCCAAAAGGCCTTGACAAATAAAAATGTCACCACTTAGTGTGGCAAAGACATCAGACCTTGCACCAGAAAAGCCTCCGGGAAGAGCATCCCATAATCAGTACACCCCTACTAAAGGGTCCTGCCTCACCTTCAGAGATGGAAGGGTCTCTGAGGATAATTATAATGCTTGGCTTGAAGGTGGACCGTCAGACACCCCAGGTTCAAACCTCTTGGTGCTTCAAGCATAGGAGCCAACACTTTCAGCTATGTTCAGAAATGGGTCAGTAGCCATTGCAGTTGGTTTAAGTCTAGCTAATGTGTTCATTTCCAAAATTACTCAGTTATCTGGCCACTGTCCTCTGTACCAGTTAAAGTTAAGAATAGTTTTCCAAAGCAGTCCATGTACACACATTACTGTAATCCAAAGATCAGGGTGTCCACAACCATTACAAGTCTGTTAGTCTGCTAGCCATACCACATGTAAGATGATTCTGCCTAAATGTGCATAGGATAGCGCCCTAAATTAAAGAGGTGACTGTCAGCACAAAGGAGAACTCCGTGGGCTTGTCCTGTATATCTTCTGATCATACTGTGATTTTGAGCTTTCTGCTTTTGCCTACCAAACATAATAAAGCAAAGCCTTTTTGTTTGTTTATTTTAGATGCAGAAGATGGGATTGCAATTGAGCAACATCAAAAGCCTTTCAGCTCTGTCAGAGCTTGTTCAAGCTGCCAAGGATCAGATATCAGCAGAACAAACATAGCAAGATTTCCAGATGTGTGATGAGAGCAGGCCTACTTTCAAAAAGAAGAGAGTTTATTTTTACTTTTCTCTCACCAAATACTATGTAGCAATGAAGTGCTTCCTAATGCAGCTTGTACAGCAAGTTAAATGTGTCTCAAGATACATAAGAACTTGTTCCACCAAAAAGGAGAACCTTGCAGGATAGAACATTTACTCTAGTTTTCCATTATATGGAAGACTGTTTATATTATTTCTAAATATTCTACACAGAGCTACGAAAGTCTTTTTAATTTTTATTGTAAATCTTTATCATGCTGTAAAAATGATTTAATGTGATTAAAATGAAAAAGAAAAGCATTGTCTTCCTTTTTATTACTGGGAGGAGAAATGTGTTAAATATGGGATGTTCTTGTTGCTTTTTTGTTTATACTGATCTTCAGACAATGTGAGAAAAGTGATATACTGTCATGCCTTTAATTGTATAATTCTGAAATATATAGAAAAGATTAAAATGAATAATATTGTTGAATTTTAAAGAAGAAAAAACAAGCTTTTGAACCTTTCCTGGAAGGTACCCACTAGTTTTTTCTGAATTGAAAAGATTTCCTAGCTCAAGAAAGAAGAGCCATAAAGACCAGTATTTTCAGCAGAACCATATAGAGAAACTCAGGGATATTCCAGGTACACTTGACAACAGGAAGCAGTACTTGTGATTTTGGCTGCACTGCAAATGAAATAGGACTAAAGCTTTTCCTCCAGCAAAAATGAAATTTCAGTCCAAATCAGGCAGAGATTTCAAATTCTGCATTTGAAGTTCAAATATGATTGCATCTAAATCTGAAAGATGTGGTATTAGGATTATCACAACCATATATGTGCTGTGCTCATGAGCTATGGGTGTTAACTCAGGATACATAAAATCCACCAGCAGGTTTCCTTTGTTAATTAAAATTTCCCAGCATGTCATCTCCATTAGTAACCTAGACTGAATGTACACAGATTAGCACAATGATTCTGCACAATCTAACAAGATCCTGGTTCTAATCCCTTCCTATTTTCAAAGCTTTAGGTAGTCTGATTTATGTAGATTTATTACAAGATAAATTGTTAATTTTGAGGGATTTTAATAGGGTGGGATAGAAAATGATTTAAATATGATAAAATTACACAGATTCTTAACTATATGCTCAAAATGGTAATATACAGTATAAACCTGAATTCCACAGGGTCTGCTTCCTGTTAGAACTAGAGGGGTTCAAAGAAATAAATATTGTCTTATTTTAAAGTGACCCAACATGCCTGTTTGCCTTGTGATTTTTGCTTTGGTGAATCACGAAGGAAGAAACAAATTAATGCATGTCTGAAAGTGAAGTGCCCTCTTTAAGAACAATTAAAGTAATCCCAGAAATCCTTGGAAGAGCATCAGAAGGTCAGATAGTATCATTATAATATATATTATAATTTTCTTTAATTTATACTCCTTAAGGTAAATTCTAGTAGAATCTAATTTTTCAACTTTTTAGTTTCAAAACTACCACATCATCAGAATATTTCTTGCCCTAAAATTGTATTGGGACCTCAGTTGAGAAGCCACCATACAAATTAATCGTGCATTATCATTTACACAGAATAAAGTTATTGTGTAGAATCCAAAGGATCTGTGAAAATCTAATTTTATAAGTGAGTTTATTAAAAGTTGAGATTAAATAGCTCTGCAATAGGGACTGGATATGGGCAAGAGAACAGGAAATGAAAAAGAAGAAAAAAGGGCTGGGAAGAATAGAAAACTTTGTTGTACGTATTGCTGTTTTAATTTAAAATGTATTTAGAAGAAACTATCCTAAGACTATATTTTATTAGCTTAAATGCCGTAGTAAAGATCTATGTGCTGCAAATGCCTAGGCTTGATGCACATACATAAAGCTAGAAATCAGAATCTGGAAGCCGAATGATTCCTGATGAGTTTCAAGGATTACTCTTTGCTATGCAAAAACAAAGAAGCCCTAGATGTAGTTGGGAATCTAGTTCTACTCCCCCTATCCATAACATTTAGCAGAACCTCTCTGAATCCTGATATTATGACTTAGAAATATGAAATTTCATGACATTAGAATGTGGCCAATTGTATGGCATAATGAGTGGGTTACCTGCATCTCTTGAGCCTCTTTATCTGTGTGCTCCGCATTAACTAAGCCTTGTCAAAATGAATGGAGCAAAGTTGCTGCCATGTTCTCCAGCCTTCCTTGAAACTGAAAAGGGAGGAGGATAATTCCTTTCTCTGCCACTCCAGCTCTGGGTATACTCGTATCCATATGTTGCATTTTTCCTACCAGATTCACTGTCATGTATTGTGGTGTTGGCTATTAGCTTAGATAGCTTTAAAAAGTATAAGTTTATAGAGAAATCTTAATTGGCAGCTATTCTCCATTAGAGCTAAATGGACATTTAAGTTCATTACCAGACTCTGAAAGCAAAGAAGTTAAATGTTGTTATAGTAATTTCCTGGTAAGCTTCTGGAATCATTTTGATGGTGACTGGACTGAATGCTATCAAAATAATTCCTGTGGAGCTGTAAGTAGGCTAAGCAACTCTTCTATTCTGATGGCCTTCTCCATTTCTCATGTCACTACCAGGCTATGATGTGGGCTCAGGCACATCACCCCAGGAAGCTATAAAGTAGGGTGGATACTGTTCATCAGAAGGTCACTTACTGTGTCTATAACCACTTGGAAAACTGGCCTGTTCTATTAGATGCATTCACACGCCATGCTAATATGTCTGTAAATAAGCCATAGTGGGTTGATTGTTGGCAGACAATTGGGCCTACCAGGGTTTGCACTCTTAGAGATGTCAGAAATGTATACTCTGGCCTGGTCAATTTCTTTGACTGTTTCAACTGTCCAAGGGAGTTGCAAAGAGGAGTAGGTAAGAATAGAGTCATAGAATAGTAGAGCTGGAAGGGGCCAAGAAGGCCATCAAGTTCAACCCCCTGCTAGTGCAGGACCCCGTTACACTATCCTTCACAGGTTTCTGTCCAGTTGCATCTTAAATGCCTCTAGTGTGAGAAAGACCACAACCCCCCTAGATCAATGGTTCAGTTGTACCTCTCTAACAGTCAGTAATTTTCCCCTGATTTCTAGCTGGAATCCTGTTTCCTGTAATTTAGGACCATTGTTCCAGATCCTGCACTCTGGGATGATGGGATCTTGTTCTTCCTCTTTGTGATAGCCTTCCAAGTACATGTAGAGCGCTACCATATTACCCCTCAGTCTTCTCAAGGCTGAACATGCCCAGTTCTCTCAATCTCTCCTCATAGGGCTTTGTTTCCAGGCCCTGAATCATCTTTGTTGTCCTTCTCTGAACCCTTTCCAGCTTGTCTGCATCTTTCTTAAACTGTGGAGCCCAGAACTGATCACAGTACTCCAGATGAGGTCTGCACAATGCTAAGTATAGGGAAATATTACTTCACATGATTTGGGAAGTGATACTTATACTAATGCGGCCTAAAATAGCATTTGGTCTTTTTGCGGGTACATTGCATTGTTGACTCATATTTAGCTTGTGATCTACAATGATTCCAAGATCCTTCTCACTTGCAGTATTGTTGAGCCAAGTATTCTGCATCTTAGAAACATACAAACAGTGAGTCAGAAGGGATCTCTTGGGCCATCTAGTCTGACCCCTGGCTCCACTCATGACATGCCTACCATGTTTAAGGATATCCAGCCTATCCTTAAACACCCTCACCAATGGGGCTTCACCCACCTCCTGTGGAAGCGCATTCCATACCCTTGGGGTCCGAACCATCAGGAAGTACTTCCTGGCATCCACCTTGAATTTTGGTTCCCTGAGCTTTGCTCCATTGGAATTCATTCTGCCCTCCATCATGGGGGGGGGGGGGAGGTCACGACCCACCTCTGTGTGACACCCCCTCATGTACCTGTATGTCGCTAACAAGTCCCCTCTGAGTCTCCTCAAGACTGAAAAGACCCAGTTCCCTCAGTCTCTCCTCACATGGCTTACCTTGCAAACCAACCACCACCCCTTTAGCCCTTTGCTGCACTGATTCCAACTTTGCTATATGCCTCTTGTAATGAGGGCCCTGGAACTGAACACAATACTCCAGCTGCAGGTGCACCAGAGTCATATAAAGTGACAGTAATACCTCTCTCAATCTAGAAGCCACACTTCTGGCTATGCATCCTAGGGTGGCGTTCACCCTCTTTACTGCCACATCACATTGCTGACTCATGTTAAGCCTGCAATCAACCAGCACCCCAAGATCCTTTTCACAAGTGCTGCTTTCCAGACACTTGTTCCCTAACCTGTACTTATGACATTCATTCCTATGCCCCAAGTGCAAAACCTTGCACTTACCAGCATTGAACACCATCCTGTTGTCCCCGGGCCACTTCCATATTGTGTCCAGATCCTTCTGGATCCGGAATCCCTGCTCCTCAGCCATAACCACTGCCCCCATTTTAGTATCATCTGTGAATTTGATCAGCAGGCTTGTCACTCCCTCTTCCAAGTCATTGAAGAAAAGATTGAACAGGTTTGGTCCCAGGACAGAGCCCTGGGGGACCCCAATGATTCCCCACTAATACTTAACCTCTGCTGTCAGTCTGTCAACCATGCCCTGATCCATCAGACAGTGCATCAGTCTATCCCAAAACTCCTCGATTTCTCAACCAGGATATCATGTGGCACTTTGTCAAAGGCCTTGCTGAAATCCAGGTAAACCACAATGATTGCATCCCTTCCATCTAGCCACCTTGAAACCTTGCCGTAGAATTCTACAAGCTTCATCTGGCAGAACCTGTTTTTGTGGAAGCCGTGTTGTGTGGCCGCCAACCTCCCTTCCTTATCTAGGGACTCCAGAGCATTTCCTATTATGGGCCTTTCCATTGTCTTTCCCAGAACTGATGTAAGGCTAAGCAGTCTGTAATTCCCCATGTCCCCTCTACTACCCTTTTTGAAGATTGGGACCACTGACGCCACCCTCCAGTCCTCTGGAACCTCGTCCATTCTCCATGAGGCCGCAAAAATTGAGGCCCGCAGATATGAGAGTACCCCCACCAACTCCCTAAGTACCCTCGCGTGTAACCTGTCAGGGCCTGGTGCCTTTGTAATGTCCAATGCCCTGAGGAGCTCCTTGACTTTTGAGGGGTGATTCTAATCTGTACCCCTAAATCCCCAGCCTCATCCAGTTCCCCAATCAGATCTCCCCCATCCTGCTTTGGGGAGAACACAGAGGCAAAGTAGTCATTTAGCATCTTGTAGCAATGCATTTGGTTTCTTTTTCCTAAGTGCAGAACTTGGCATTTGTCCCTATTCAATCTCATTCTGTTGTTTTCAGGTCAGCAAAATTGACAAGGCAAATTAATTAATTTGCACACAGTTTCCAGGGTCCAATTGCCAAGTTATCAGTTGAAAAGTACAGGTAAAGTGGGAACAGCAGCAAAGGAAGAAGCACCAAAAAAGGGAGGGAGAGAATATCTGCTCTTTATAACACAGTCCTCTGTATTTTAAATGTTGAACTTAGTGTTCTCAGCATCCTCCACTTTTCCAACATTTCTCAGAATGTCCAGCTACTCCAGGAATGGGAGATATTAAAGCTTCCTCCCTTTTTGTGGTTGCTTTTTGGAGCAGTTACTGTAGTTTCCTAACAGTTCAAAAATGTAGAAAAGCATGCAGGATTAATGGTTGGAAAGTAAATGGGGAGGGAGAATGTGTGCACCTGCAGTAACAGAAAAGCCAATGTACATTTCAGCATTCATTTGCTTTTTTAAAATTGTCCGGGAACCACAGAAACTGCAGCTGTAACTGCTCTGAAAAGGAGCCATGAAAGTGAGCTAGGGTTAGGAGCAGTGTCCTCCACTGAGGATCACATTGCCACCAAGGAAATACTGTTTCCACCTAGGAGGAAGGCTTATCAGGAGATGGTGAGCAATCGGAAATTACATTCTGCTGGTGTAAGGAAGCTCTAGCAACATTAGGTGGTGTGATGGCGTTTTTCAGGGAAGCCCTTCACATCAGCTAATTTTATGGATCTTGTACTAGAAGTACATGAGGAGGTGTCATGCAGAGGTGGGTAGAGACCTGTTTTCCCCTGCGGAGCGGGGCAGGACCCATTCCAGTGCAGCAAAGCTCAGGGAACGTAGGTTCAATTTGGATGCCAGGAAGTACTTCCTGACAGTCAGGACCCCGAGGGTGTGGAATGGGCTTTCATGGGGGGTGGTTGAGGCCCCATAGATGAGGGTATTCAAGGATAGGCTGGACATGCACATGGTGGGCATGTCAGGAGAGGAACCTGCTGGAGCTGGGGGTCAGCCTAGATGGCCCGGGAGGCCATCTAGTTTGACTCGCTCTGTTTCTATGTGCAACACAATTCACATTAGCACTACTGCCTGATTGGTTGCTGCCCCGGGCCAAGCACCCTATTCAGTCATTTGTGTGGCACCATATATGACCACCTTGATACATATGACTTTTATCCCTGCAGCACACAATGAAATAAAGATTTTTTTAATGTGTTACTTGTTAATAATATTTAATACATTTTGCAAGACATCCATTTACATTGCAAGACATCAAATTACATTTCAGACCATAGAAGCAGTTGTTAAGGAAAAGATTATTCAAACAAATCTAGAAACCCCGTATAAAATTTATTTTTTTAATGGATTTGTTACTCTGCCAATATAAAGCATTCCTTCTGCATTGCGTGAATACACTATTACCAGGAAAGGGCGGTTCAGTGTTATTTTAATTCTCCCTTTGGGTTCATTTTGTTTGGGGGATTCTTCTGGCTGATCTGCTCCACCAGGACTGAGCTCAAAAAGTTGCTGATTTATGACCTGCAAACAAAAATGAATTTAGGAAATCTCTTAAACTGTTAGATATCAGGGCATGATAGAGAAATGACAAATGGAAAAATGCAAGTAAAGGAAATGTGCTAACCAAAAGGTCTGGTATGAAGCAGCCAATAACATTTATAGAAAATGGTATAACACATTTGCACAAAGTCCAGTTCCATTAGTGAGCGGATGACAGACTGAAGGCACCTGAAATCCCACTGACAGGTTTTGCAAAATCCATAGATCCCTTTCCTGAGGCTGCTTTTACTTTTAAAAGTTTGCATTTCTATGCCTTTTGAATATACCAGAATATTTCTGGCAATATTTTGGCCTTGCATCAGCTTTTCCCAACTTGGTGTGTTCCTAATGTTTTGAACTACAGTGCCTAGCATTCTTGACCAGGCTAGGTGGGGCTGATGGGAGTTGAAGGCCAAAACAACTGGAAGGCATCATGTTGGGTAAGGCTGGATTTTTTTCCCCTTCTGTCATGTATAATGACTGTAAGTAGGTATGAGTATAAAATATGGCAAAAATTGCTTTCATGCAGAAGACAGATTGTACCTTTCCAATTTTCACGTTAGTGTCACTTAGCATTCTGAAACCATCTTTCTTTTCAAGTAGGCAAGACATGTTCTGTTTCATGAGGAGCTCTTGAAGATTATAAATGCTTTTGAAGGAAACTGTTGGCAAAGTCAAGTTGATTTCGCTGCAGAAAATACAAGATGGGAGAAAGAAAAAAAATATGAATTGTTACACACACTGCACTGCTACTGAAACCTCCAAAGATGTTCTTCCCCTCTTAAGAGCAACTTGTGTTCCATGATGTTCCTTGTGGCAGCCAATGAGTTGTTGTGTTTAGAATGCTGGACCAGGAGTTGGGAGATCTGGATTCTAGTCTCAGCCAAAGCTCTCTAGCCTAGCCTAGCATATTCCACAGGGTTGTTTTTAGACTACGATGGAGAGGAGGATCATGTATGCCACCTTGGATTTATTGCAAGAGGGTAAAAAGTCGAAAGATAGTAATAGATATATAAAATGTACCTTGGTGACAGTTTTTCCAGCCATTCCTTAGAAGGCCTCATAGAGTATTGATCTTCCACACTGGCCAGTGTACTGCTGTTAGTGGGTAGCAAAAGCAGCAGAAATACACACTTGCTGACAGGAATCTTGACAACAGCAAGGCCTGGGTTGCCATCACATTTGTACTCGAAGGTTCCAGTCACTGTCATCATGGGCACGGAAATCTTTGTGCCTGAATCGAGCCAGAATTCCTGGGGCTCCCTTAGGAGGGAGGCTTGTTTTAGAGCAACTGAAAAACAAATGGAAAAGTGGCTAGAGCAAAGGTCTTGGTTGTGTCCACTTGACTGGCACATGGATATTCCCACTTATGGCCATCCACAATATTTATTGAAATCTCTTGAATGCTGCTTTTCTTTGACAAGTTCACAGTCGCAGATTGTGGCAGAATTTTAAAACAGCAATGCTGAACATTGAAATAAAATAGAAGCAATAAAATGAAGAGCAACTGACTAAGAGCACCTATTAAATTAACAGTTTCCAACTGGATTAAAACAGCCTTCAGGGGAATGGTGCCTTAGAGGTATGCACCCTGCAAAAATCTTTGTTCTTTAAATATGTTATTCTTAATTAATCTTTTACCTGTTTATTGAATACAGGTGACATACAACATTATGACTAAAACATACAAAGTATAAAACAGCTAAAAGCAATTTTGATTAAAATACCAAAATATAAGGCAACTGAAACATCAATGAGAACCATAACCAAAGCAAACCCTGTCATGTATCTTCAAATTCCTGGGGGTAGAGGAAAGTCTCTGGCACCAAAAAGTTGACACTGTTAGTGCCAGGCAGGTGAGCATTCCCTAGTCATGGGCAGGACACAGCAAAACGAAGGTGGTCCTCTTCCATGTTGCCATCCTTCAAACCTCAGGGAAGATCTCTGAGGAGGGCTTCACATTGGTTGCAATGTTGGGTAGGTTTGTGCCAGAAGAGGAGCTCGATGAGGTATGGTCATTATAAGCCATATGAGGCTGTATAAGCCCAAACCAGCACCTCAAATTTGACTCAGAAATGTATAGGCAGCCATTGGGGTGGAGACAGTATCAGTATGAGATGCTTGGGCCTTCTGGTTCATAATATCAGCCTGGCTGCCTCGAATCCACAAGATGAAAACCATCTTCCAAGGGAACCCATGCGCAGTGAGTTGGACTAATTTAATTTGGAATAACAGTAGAAGCCAGGTTTTTCCTGTCGGGATGGGACTGTGAGTGGACAGCTAGCTGAAGCTGGTAGAAGACAAGTCATGCCCCTGAAGCAACCTCATCTTCAAGGGACAATGATGGCTTGAGGGGAATTCCCAAGCTACAGATCTGCTCCTTCAAGCCCATCCAGAATAGGATCTTCTCTCTCCAACTAGTCAAAAGAAGCACCCACTAATAGCACCTGGGTCTTTTCTAGATTGAGCTTGTTTGTTGACTCACCCGGTGCATTGTTGCAGTCAGGGGCTGGTCTAGCACCTACATAGCCTCACCTGATCGAGATGATAAGGAGAAATGACACCCATGCACTCCAAAGCTCCTGATGACATCATGCAGGAGTTTCAGGTAGATGCTGAATAGCATGGTGGACAGGAGGGGCCCCTGAAGAACCCCGTGCAGAAAAATGCACAGCGTTGTGCCACATCTATCCCCCAACCACCACCTTCTGGAGCAAACCAGTAATCTAGAGGTGTTGTGCCTCATTCAAATTGACAACTGACTTCCATTCTGGAGATTCTGTCAGCTGTCAGCTGTGGGTATATGTGATTACAAAAAAAGAACCAAATACCAGCATGTTTTAACTTTCACTTCCAGTGACTAAGCCTTAAGAGAGGTGTGCCAACATTTTGCAATGGGGTAAAAAACTTCACAGAGGCCAAAATCACCAAGTAACTGGCTTTAGGGAGAAAGCGTGGAGCCAGGGAAAGAGGCAAGAATGAATGGGAAGTCTTGGAATGCTGAATTTGGTCCCCAGGCTGAAGCCTCTGTACTGAAATTATAATATTACATTGTGAATTTAACTGAAGGTCTTTAAAAATCTGTTTCACTTCAGATTTGCCTTTGGTACCATCATGTGGGGATTCTCTGACACCAGTTCACTCCACCATTGATTTACCTTTGACCTGAAGGTAGGTTGCGAGCAGGAGATTGGTTTCTGGATCAATGTCTCCCAGCGAATTTTGGCTTTTGTGAGTGCTTTTCCGTTCAACAAATGCACTGATTTGTTCCGCTGCCTTTGTAGGGTTTGTAAAGTTGACCGCACGTATCTGGAAACTAGAATCAGGAGTGGCCAATTCATGGACAAAGGATTCAGATAAATAGATGCCTGGGGAAGTGAACAGGGAGGAAAACTTAGAGAAGAGCAATCCATCATCTTCCCCTGGGTGCAATGGACAATGGATGATGGACCTCAAGGCAGCAAAGACTTTGTGCCCATCAATTTTGTAGGTGCAGTTTGGATCAATAGTTGGAGAGTCATATCCTAAAAATGTCTGCAAATTAGTGGCTGTGACTCCAGAGGCCCCCAGGTAGAAGGACAGCAGGCTTTCATATATGAATACTGGGGACAAAAAGATATTGTCTCCCTCATGTATTTCCCTCAGGAGTTGGTAGAAGCGTGCACCGAGAATGTAAATTGGGTCTACCAAGCTGTCCACTCCAACGAGCTTCTCCCCGTCTTCACTTTTGTTCCCGGGGCTCTCTTCAGGTGCTGAAGGGATGTGGGACTCGATTGGGCTGGGGAGGAAAGTCTTTGCCTGATGTTCTCTTTTTTCCACCTCCTTGCAGCTGTTTGTGTGCATGTTGTTGACATTAGCCAGCGCAAAGGGGTGGACATACACCCGGTCACAGCTTGCTGCAGTAATGCACACAAGGATACACAGGAGACTCACGCCTGGATTCATGCTTAACTGGAGCTTCAGCAATGACTGTTTAAGAAAGGAAGAAAGAGACAGATGTCTTATGAATGTCCAGAGTGCTTCATTGTTATGATAGAAAATGGCTGCCCAAACCACACAATCAGCATCATCTTTTTTGGCTTTTAAGTTTAGTCATAAATGGCCCGGCATTAGGAGGGGGCAATGAAGTGAATGGGTTTGCAGATGTCACCAAATTATCTTGGGTGTTTAAAACAAAAAGAGATTGTGAGGCATTCCAAAAGCATTTCTCCAAATTGGGAGGGTGGACAGCGCAATGGTTAATGTGGTTCAGTGTAAGCAAATGTAACATGATTGTGTTGGGGCAAAAAAATCCCAACTTCAAATATAAGCTAGTGGAATTTTGATCTCCATCAAAAAGGGGATCTTGAGGTTGTACTGGACAGCCCCATAAAAATCAATCCAGTGAGTGGAATCTTCTGTAAGATTATACTCCTGATATACACTTCTGTAGTGAATCATGCTTACCCCCAAAATGATACTGTAGAGTTATAAAAAGTGTGAAAAGGAGAAACCAAACCAATCAAAGAGCTGGGGAAACTCCTTTATGAAGGAAGGTTACAAAAGCTGAGAATGTTTGGCTTTAAACATAAGTAATAGGAGGCATGCTAGGGAGAAAATGGAGAGGGAGAAATTTTTCTCCCTTCCCATCCTACTGGGGATGCAGGATCATCCCATGAAGCTGTTTGGTGGAAGAGTCAGGACAGATCAAAGGAAGTGCTCCACATGGCAACTGGCAAATGATGCAATTCACTTCCATGAGATGTAGTGATGACCACCAATTGGAATAGCCACCCATTAAAAGAGAATCAGACAATTCCCGGAGGAGAAGGCAATCCATGGTGCTAGTCCTGATAGCAACATATTATCTCCACTATCAGAGGAGGAATTCCTGGGGTACACCAGTTGCTGGAAAACTTGAGTGGGAGGGAGCTGTTGCTTTCACTGTGAGAATAGAATCATGGACTAGACAGACCCTTAGTCTGTCCCTTAGTCTCCCCCATGGCTCTTCTTACCTTTTTGTGAATCTGTTGGTCTATACAGGGGACCTGCTGATCTGCCGCTTACAGGGGATGTGGCTCATTCTGAACACTTGGCTGCTCCTTTGCCCAGAGGGGAGACAAGGAAGTGTTGCTTACTAAAACCAGTGGGTGGCTCCCTGTCTCTTCTATGTGGGACCCTAATAACTTCTCCCCTGTTTCTGCAGGTTGCTTTCTAGCTGGTTGGGTTTCAAGGGTTTGATTAGAGTGGGATCTCATTTCATGGCTAATGCTTGTAAGTGCCTTTCCATGTTGCCCTGGGTACGTTTTTGACCACGTCCATGAGAGCAAGGAGCAATGCCCCTCCTATTCCAAAGCTCTTGCAAGAAAATCCCCCTGCTTTATTTCTTCTTCATTATTTTCCCAAATAGGACTGCGGGGGGTGGTCACTTGAACATTGTGAAAAAGCATGAAATGCATCACCCAGAAAGGACGTAAAAGTGGATGGTGATTTGCATGGGCTAATGTGTGTGTGTGTGCTTGTGTGCGCACAAATTTAGGAATGGGAGTGGTTATTTGCATCTTGCCCTGGTAGGAAGCCAGCAGCCAGGTGACCTCTGTGTTTGTCTGCACAGTCTGCTCTGCTATCCAAGTACAAACTGCCGGTGGGGATGCCAAGGGCTCTGTTCTCTTTTTCTCGCCCTCAGCTTTCAGTGCAGGCTGCCTTCCTTGTCCACCCAAGGCACGGGCTCAGAGGAAAACATGGAGCTGCACCATTTTGAATCAGCCCACTGGTCCATCCAGGCCAGTCCCTCCTGACTGCCAGCAGGTGACCGGCAGGAGGGTCTTTGTAGCCCTACACCTGGAGAGCCTTTCTAAGAAGGGATTGAGCCCTGGACTTCTTGTATGCAAAGCATGCATGAGGCTCCACCACAGGCACAGGTAGGAACACCTTTTCATATCAGTTCTACTCCCTGATTCAAGCAGCCAGGAAGTGCAGCTGGCTCACAACCCTTGCCCACCCCTGTTTTATTACATCTAATGATAGTCCTCTTAATGTCCTTTGATAAGGAGAGATCCTTACCATAATGCTCTGGTAATATTGCCCTCTTGGATCAGCCTTTGTCCACTTTCATGCAGCCCAATTGTTTGGAACTAAAACTCCCAGAATTGCACATGTTGGCTGGGGCTGATTGGACTTGAAACCCAAAACATTTGGAGGGCAACTGGGTTGGAAAGGCTATTTTGCATCATTCAGTGACCTTTTCTAGAAAAAACAAAGCTAAGCAACTTCAGGCTAGGGGGACCAGCTAACACTTGAATACGGCTTACTGGAGGCCTTGCAGCGCACAACCTTTAGCCAGGTGCCGTGGGTTGATCATTTTCTGTTACACATTAGCCACCATCACATGTGGACTGCATGAAGGGACATCACGCATGGAAAAGAGCTCTGGATGAGGGTGGGTAGCTTGGGCCTCTCCCCAAACTTCCTCATCTCTGCAGAGAAAAGGCAGACACATGATGGCTTTCCATGGATTCCAGAATCCTGGTTGTGCAGGGTCCAAGGATACATGAAAAACCAATGCATGCAGCAACACCAAAACCTTTCATTAGGCATGATATTATGTGGAAGGGAGAGAAATACTCCGTGCAACCTAAAATCTTTTTGATCCTAAGCAACTGGCCTGAGCTGAATCATTGTGCCTCCATATGCAGCCTTATTTAGGAGGAACAAAGTCCTCTTCAGTGCAGCGGGGCTTACTAAAGAATAGACATAGAGAGAATCGTGCCCTAAGGATGCAGTCCAGTGGGGCCTGCCTTAGATATACGTCAGCCTCTGGACTTGGGGGGTTATGCCCATCCAGAGCACAGTGTGGCGAGTGTATTTTGTCAAAACTGCCATTGGTGGCCATCTAGATGAAGCACCGGAGAGGAGGAGGGGGAGTCGAGGAAGGAGGCTGGGGACGTGATCAGAATCACTGCAAGTCCTTACTCTGGCCTCCTTCTGTCTCCATCCCCGCCGACTGCTCCTCTGCATGCTGTCTGAGCCAGGCTGCAGCCACAAGGAAGCTGCCAATATGCTTCTTTCCAGCTTGCCTGCAAGGACACAGATCAGTTGCTCAGTATTCGCATCCTAGTTTTGAAGTTGCAGGACCTTGGAGCTGGGGCTCCAGATAAACATATGACTCTCGAGACAATGTCAGGAGTCCATGGGATTGTTTAAGGCTTTCCCCATTCCATGTTAAGCTATCTTGAACTAAAGGTGACATCGTCTCTCTCTCTGAAATTACGTTGGAGCAAGATGGTGGTGTGCAAAACTAAAAATGAACATTGTGATAAAAACAATACAAAACAATAACATCCAATTAAATAGTGCTTATAAATTAAACCAGCAATGGAAACATTTTTAAAGACCAGAAAAAAGAGATACACGTGAAATGTTTGGCTGATCCATCTCATCCATTCTCATCCCTGAACATTTAAATGGTACATTATATACAGCTTTCTAGTTTTGCTCACTATCTTTATACTTACTGGCAATCTAGGAAACTCCAAGTACTTATGTTCCAAAGGAGGAGTCATGGAGGTGCAGGGGAGGCATTTCCCTTGAATTCTTTAAAATGTGGGCCAGATGCTGCAAATTAATGTAACATTCAGTGCTTCCCTGTTTCTTACCTTTCTAAGAACAATGTTAAAATCCTGTTGCTTAGAACATAAAATAATGTATTCACACATTAGAACTTACAGTATTTACATGGGGAAGGACTTTGGAAAAACGAAGCAAAATAGCAAGAAAAATGAGAAAAAGATAGCAAATGACTTCCTTTCAAAAGGGTGAAAATAGTAATAACACCAATAATAGCAACTAATAATTTTCTAAATTATTTTCTGCCAGCAGTTAGTAAGGGTAGAAAATGGACACACACCTTTCTCAGACTCAAGTCTCTTTGGATGCGGATCACAGGTCTTTTCCAGCCCTTGGGATCTGATTCCAAGTGACAGTTTGGGTCCGTATTTTATTCCTTAGATTGCCTAACCTCAGTTACACATTAGCTGTCCCCACTGCTCTCTGACTTCAGTGCACAGTGTTCTAGGAGATGTGTTTTTCCATGAATTTGTCATCATTGCTCTTTCCTTTCCCACTGGGAAGAACAAATACTGCAGGATACCATTTCATCAGTGCTGTGTTTGCTGTCTTCTAAGGGACCTTGTTCCCTCGTATGTTCTCGCATCTCTAAATTGGAAACTGTCAAGATAAGGACCTCATCCAGCAGTGCAAACATGACACCCTGCCTTGCAGTAGGAACTTATGTAAATACCCTCCAAGACACCTTTTGCATATCAAAAATAAACACAGGGTTGATGATATTTGGGGGCAAGAAAGGCAAGAAAACACAGGCCTTACAAACGAGCCTTAGGATCTGAAAACTTTGGACAGTATCCAGCTTTGCCCACGGACCAGCACAACCCACTGCTAGCACACTGGGGAGCACATAGTTTTAAAGCAACCCGAAATGAGCTGAAACTTTGTTTCTGGAAGGGGGCAATTCAGCATACCTGGAAGAGTAAAGCACTAGCTTTTTGCACTTCTAGCTTTCTGCTGTGCAAGTGACAGATCCAGCTTGCACAAGGGTACGCGTGAGACTGCGGTGCTGCATTGTCTAACCCCGTGGGCAGTGCTTTGTTTTCTCCAGTTTTGTTCACTTCCTTGTATTAGGGTGGCCGCTTACAGGTTCCCCAAAAGGAAGACATGCATTGCTCAAAAAGAGCAAGAGGACACAGATGTGCAGAAATGCTGCCTAATGTAATTTATATATATTGATGCTCATTTGGAAATGTAGGTTGTAAGTGAACTAGAAATGCAATTTGTCTCACCACGGATGGGGAAAGGGCTGCCCAGGTGGCTTGTGCATCTGCTTGCTCCTCCTGCTCACCAGGTGCTCACTGGTGACGGGCAACTTCAAGGTCTACTCGCTCTCTCCCTTGCTGGTCCTTGATCATGAAATCAGACATGCCATGGGAAGCCCTTCCAGCAGAGGATGATCCTCTGTAAAGTAAGACACTTCTCTACCCTACTTTGCTGTTTCTTTTTTGATTGCTCAGGCTTACTGGAGGAAAGGACACCTGATATTATATGCCTTGCTGAACCATTTCTTAATAATAATAATTTGTTACTGTGATGGGCTGCGCAATCCTATGGCCTCCAGGCAGCATCTGGGTCACCACAGGAAGCCACGGGTCACAGGAATGGCTCTTCCACACCCATTGAGAGAGCTAGGAATATAGAGGAGGAGATTCCTCATGGATCTTGCCTCCCAGCCACGGAGGAATGCTTCTCTTACAAAGCGGCAACTACAATGTTGTAAGAGAAATTGGAGAGGGAGCAAAGGGGGCTTCTTCCTCTTGGTCTTGCTGGATCTGGCTGGCAGGCCTAGGATCGGCAGAGGTCTCTGAACTCAGACCCTTCTCTCTGTTGAGAGCACAATCCATAGGACTGGACCCTAAATCAACATATTAACATTGAGCAAGGTGGAGTAATCAGTAAAACACACACTAGTGTGAACATATCAGCACTTACAGAGCATCAGTGTTAAAGTACTGATGCATTTTGTTCACAGGGCATGCAAAGTGCAGGGAAGGAGCATGTGCGCTGCATGTAGAAGGTTCCTGGATCCATCTCTGTCCTCTCCGGTTTAAATGAGCCCATCAGAGCTAGAAAAAGCCTGCCTGAGACCCAGGAATGGTGCTACCAGATAGTACTGGGCAAGATCGACCCACGTTCTGATCCAGTGTAAGGCCAGTGTGGTGCTGAGAGCCAGTGAAGTGTAGCAAAGTTGCCACATTGATCTAGAGCCCCGGAGACCTTGGCTCAGGTTGCTGCTCATCCAAGGAGCTCACTGTCGCTACCCCTCAGCCTAGCTGGCCTCACGGGATGGTTCTGAAAGTAAAACTGTATGGGGGCAGCACACCAGGCGCACTCCTTGCAGGAAAAGTTGAATGTCGGAAAGCCTTTGTCTTCACGGGAGACTTTTAGTTGAATGAGGCATCATTTATTGGGACTTACATGTCAAAGAGGGGGCAAGGCACCTCTATAATTTGAGAGTACAGAACAGAGAGGATAATGTTCATTACATACATAACAATTAACCCAAGGGGAAAAGACTTGTTAAAAATAAGAAGCATTTTTAAAAGTTCACAAAGTGACGGTGGCTGGAGAGGAAGAGTGATGTCATGCATCACCTGTGATGTCACAGGCACTGTTCCACAGGTGGCCGTGAGACTAGCACAAGCACATTTCATAATCCAGCCAGCACCTTTTACCGTCACTGGCACACCACCCTGGTGACAAACATTGCGCTTTCCAGTGCCAAAAGGCAGCTGAATGGTGGGACAGTGAGGTTTCTTCACTTCAGATGCCTTGAACTGAGATGTGTAGTGCCTGTCAGCTGCCATCCCTTATAACAGGGGTCCTCAAACTTTTTGAATAGGGGGCCAGTTGAAAGGTGCCAGTGAAGGGCGTTGGCCACCAAGGCAGTGTGGGCGGGGGGTGCAGGCCGGGGAGGGGGCACATGCACACGCACACAGAAAGGCAGGGGCATGCATGCTTGCTCACAAGGAGATCGTTTTGGATGTGCTCAGAGAAAAGGATCTCCCGCAAGGCGCCAGCTTGCTTGCAAGGAAATCCTTTTCTCTGAGCGAGTCCAAAATGATCTCCCCGTCGCTCAGAGAAAAGGATCTCCCAGCCAGGCACCGGCTTGCTCGCAAAGAGACCCCCTTTCTCCTGGCGAGTCCAAAATGATCTCCCTGCAAGCAAACTGGCAGCTTAGTTGTGAGCTATGGAGGGCCGGATAAATGAGCATGGCGAGCCGGATCCAGCCCGCGGGCCATCGTTTGAGGACCCATGCCTTAAAACGTCAGTGGGGCCACTACGTTGTTCTCGATGGCGTAGAACATCCAGCCCTCCAGGTACTTAAAGAGAAGTAAATCACATGGGACTCTGCTTTGTTTGGACTTCCACAAAGGGCTTCAGCAAACACACTAAAATAGGTGTGCAAATACCCTTTCAAATGACGATGCTCAAAGTCCACAAGGTGAGCCATGTGAAAACTGCAGAAAAAGCAAACCAAACAAAATGGGCCAGCCCCTTAAAGGCCAACCCGTTTATTATAGCTGAAGTTTACCCAGAGCGGAGCATCTGGAAAGCTGGAAAAATAATGGGCCTTGCCTAATCTGCCGCAGGGTTTTCATGTTCTTAAAAAATAGCCTTGTGAATAGAGAGCTTGTAAAGGTATATTCCTCTTGGAGGAGATCTGCACGTGTCAAATGCCTGTTTGCACAGTTCACATCATTATCTGAACTCCAAGTCCATAGGCTGTCGTAAGTTGTCCAAGCGCGAATCCAGGCCGATTTTAACTGCTCAACAGCCTCCTTGCTTACATGCTTTAAGAGTGTGATCCTATGTGTTCTTAGGCAGAAAAGGGCCCTGCAATTCCCAGCATGCCCCAGCCAGCCAAGCACAGGGCTGCAATCTAAGCAAAGTGAAAGGATGGCCTATTGTTATTAAGCATCAGTATTTCAAAGAAGTCCCAGAGGTCCTCCAACTCTTAGCATGTTCTGGGGTGGCAGGGCTGCTGGGAGCTGCAGGACTTTTTCTGTCTAAATAGGCATAGGATTTCACCCTATGGGCTGAGTCCACAAATCCTTATACAGACTTCTTCCCTACAAGTGAATAAGCTACTCATTTGGGGGATGGTGAAAGCCTCATCTGCAAATTCTGCAGGAACTGAAGGGGTTGTTCCCTCAATAATGCATAACAAAATCTCCAGTACCAGTTTATGCACTATTAACACTCAGTCAAGGGCTCATCCTACATGAGGTATTTATCTTGGGAGCATCGCTGCCTACTCATGTTTGTTCACAGGTTCTTTAGACAATGTTGTGACCTTCTGGTTTTGCTTCTGTGTCTAAGCAGCAGTTCTGGCAGACTTTTTTAAAGCAGGGTAATGGACCATTTAATTGTCAAAGCAGAAGAAAGCTTGATTTCCTCTTACAGATTGTGCTGTTCCGTTATGCCACAGTCCCACTAGAGGTTAGGTAGCCAAAAAGCAGGAGAGGAAATGCTTCTACAAGTAGTGTTGTAATTTCAAGTGTGCAAGGAAACTGAATGTAGATACAGGGGATGAAGATTCTCACGCAGAAAAGCTCAGAGTCAGTGCCAAGCAGCCAAAACAGACAATATTTGAATCTGTATCTTGCAGCTACCTTTTTAAAATCCTTTACTCTAAAGATGGTACTAGGACCCCTGTCTTGATTTTAAATCCCCCATCTTCCCCACTGCTAAAGTCCTGATCCATCATCCAGTCCTGATCCAGATCAGGGGGTGGCTGACTATCGTACAGAAAAATTTTAAAAAATGTAAAAATATATAGCTGCTAAGCAAGGATTTAAAGCACTGTTTGCTTTGGCCCAAAGGAGGTGGGGAATAAGAGAAATTACATCATTGCATTACACCCAGTAATGAAAAACTATGGCACCATCCCTACTCCAGAAGAAAAATAATGTCAAAAGTTAAACAGAATCCCGGATCCTATGAAGAAATCAGCTAACTTGCACAGAAACACACACAAAGACGTAGATATTCACACACACAAACCGACTGACAGAAAATAAACTCACATATGAAAAATACTTCACTGTTATTTTTGTTCAGATGTGGAGCCATAATGGATCTCATTCCCTCTTCTTATATGAGCCTGCCCTCTTGTGAACATGAATGGTAAATAATATTGCAGATTTTGTATATCTCATAAAGTTGGCAACAGTGGCTGCCGCACTGCCGTTCAGGAGCAAATCGCTTGGGAGCATCTTCAACTCTTCATTCTAAGATTTCAAATGGGTGTGAGAATTTCTTGTCTAGATGTGTGCGATATACATTGCATTATATCTTTTTGCTACCCTGAACTCAAAAGTCAATGGTCCAAAGTAGGCACGGCT